AGAGATAAACCTCATCAGAGATAAACCATATCAGAGATAACCCATATCGGAGATAAACCATATCAGAGATAAACCATATCAAAGATAAACCCATCAGAGATAAACCTCATCAGAGATAAACCCATCAGAGATAAACCACATCCGAGATAAACCACATCGGAGATAAACCATATCAGAGATAAACCATTTCAAAGATAAACCATATCAGAGATAAATCATATCAGAGATAAACCCATATCAGAGATAAACCATATCAAAGATAAACCATTTCAGAGATAAACCATATCAGAGATATACCATATCATAAATAAACCATATCAAATATAAACCATATCAGAGATAAACCATATCAGAGATAAACCACATCCGAGATAAACCACATCGGAGATAAACCATATCAGAGATAAACCATTTCAAAGATAAACCATATCAGAGATAAACCATATCAGAGATAAACCCAATCAGAGATAAACCACATTAGAGATAAACCATATCAGAGATAAACCACATCAGAGATAAAACATATCAGAAAAAAAACCAAATCAGAGATAAACCATTTCAGAGATAAACCATATCAGAGATAAACCATATTAAAGATAAACCATATCAGAGATAAACCGCATCAGAGATAAACCATATCAGAGATAAACCATTTCAGAGATAAACCATATCAGAGATAAACCATATCAGAGATAAACCATATCAGAGATAAACCATATCAGAGATAAACCATATCAGAGATAAACCTCATCAGAAATAAATCTGTTTTCTGATCCCTGTATCTTACATTCCAATGTAGCAGACCTAAGATATTTTTTTTTATATTTTAAACATATAATCTTTTTTCTTTTCTAAATTCAAATTTTTAGAAAAAAAATTATTTTCAAAAGAGCAGTGAATTTTTTCTCTGGCTGTTGTATCTTCATCCATATTCCTTATTCTCTTCATCTCTCGTAGACCTACGCATTCAAGGGAATCAGATTCAAACAAAAGAATTAACGTTTTTCCGATGGGTTCGAATACTTAATAACAGCTAACCAGGCTTGTTATTAAGATTTATATTTAAAGTTGTCTCAGTAGCAAAATCTGGATCCAGCTAGGTAAAAAACCCCCATTCTCCAGGTTAATACATCGTTAAATTATGTATGCAGGACTTTAATATTACTTGTAGTTTCATTTTTTTGTTTCCATTTGTTTTATGGGGTGTTTTCCCCCCATATACACCCCTATATACACCCCTAGCTAAAGTTTCTCTAGCTTGCTATTTTCCATCTCTCACCCTGTATCTCTAATATACTATCTGAAGCGCCTAGCAAGACCCATATTGTTGCTTCTTTGAAAGCTAAATGTACACTGAGAACAAATAATCTAAGTTTGAAATATCAAAGGTTTACGCCATCATGTTACAAAGATATAGAGATTAGAAAATTCTTGTTTGAGGCAAAGACTCATGATTCCTTTGTTCAATCATGTTATAACAGAACACTGTAGTGCAGGGTTACTCACAAAGGATGAGACTGCAATGACGACCTGAAACTTAAAAAGTTTGAGAATCTAAAGGTTGAATTTGACCTTCTTCATTTTATTGCAGATACAAAATTTGATATTTTATTCTTCTCGAATTTTGTTGAATTCATTAAACTGTACTAAACTTTATTAAAGCTTATTAAACCGTTTGATTTTGATTTAACAAGTTTTTCATGGAAATTTTCAAATAAGCAATTTCTTAAAATATGATATTTAACTTTAATATCAAATTTTAAAACTTTCATTGATTTAAAAACTGAAAGTCGAAGAATTATTTTTTATTTTGATTTTATTGTTAAACTCTTAGAGAATCTAGAGGATCTTATTTAGAGGGAAATCACCGAGCTTTACCCCGATATAAGAGGAAGCTAGTGGTGGTTGGGGGCTCTCCTTGCTACTCTTATCTTAAAATGACGATTTAAAGCTGTGATGAATTTGTTTCAGAATAACAAAAAATCAATCCTGATCCTGATCCTGATCCTTATCCTTTTCCTTATCCTGATCCTGATCCTTATCCTGATCCTGATCCTGAACCTGATCCTGATCCTGATTCTGATCCTAATACTGATCCTAATACTGATCCTAATCTTGATCCTGATCCTGATCCTAATCCTGATCCTGATCCTGATCTTGCTCCTGATCCTGATCCTGCTCCTGATCCTGATCCTTATCATTGTTTGCAATATTTATGGGATTTATGTTTAATTTAAAAGAAATTTCAATTAAATTGTAAAATGTTTATTCTCGCATGATGAAAGGCTATAATTGAAAGAAAAAAGCAGAAACCTACTTTCATCTCTACTTATCCAAACCACCCAGGATCCACAGATAGATAGATAGAGAGGGAGGAGAATATAAAGGTGCGTAGTTCTCCGTCAGCCCTTCAGTAACTTGTTGATGCTGGCCGGAGCCGCAGCCGGAGTTTCAGAGGTTGGAATTGTTATCAAGGTTTTTGACTTTATGCATCATACATCATTGTTCATTTGTAAAAGAGTATTATTACATTGGCAATTTAAGGACTTTAGACGTAATTTTACAACGGTACCCTTAATACCTTCATATGATAATATTATGGTTCACATAATTTCATTATTTTTAGCTTGAAAAGTGTTTATTTCTAATAATTTCTTAAACTTATTATTGAAGCAAGAAATGTGCAAGTATTTTATGTTGAGGACCACACATGCAAATAATCAGTTTTCGCTAAGGAAAAGTTAATATACTGGCAATGAGTAGGATCGCTAGGAACGATTAGTATACTGGCAATGAGTAGGATCGCTAGGAACAGTTAATTGTCAATTAGCAGGATCGCTAGAACAGTTAACAGTTAATATACTGGCAATAAGTAAGATCGCTAGGAACAGATAATATACTGCTAATAAGTAAGATCGCTAGGAACAGATAATATACTGTCAATGAGTAGGATTGCTAAGAACAGCTAATATATTGTCAATGAGTATGATCGCTAGGAACAGTTAATTTACTGTCAATGAGTAGGATCGCTAGGAACAGTTAATATGCTGCCAATGAGTAGGATCGATAAGAACAGTTAATATACTATTAATGAGTAGGATTGCTAAGAACAGTTAATATATTGTCAATGAGTATGATCGCTAGGAACAGTTAATATACTGTCAATGAGTAGGATCGCTAGGAAAAGTTAATATACTGTCAATGAGTAGGATCGCTAGGAATAGTTAATATATTGTCAATGAGTTGGTTTGCTAAGAACAGTTAATATATTGGCAAAGAGTAGGATCGCTAAGAACAGTTAATATACCACCAATGAGTAGGATCGCTAGGAGTCAATGAGCAGGATCGCTAGAACAGTTAATATACTGTGAATAAGTAGGATCGCTAGGAATAGTTAATATATTGTCAAAGAATAGGATCGCTAGGAATACTTAATACATTGTCAATGAGTAGGATCGCTAGGAATAGTTAATATAATGTCAATGAGTAGGATCGCTAGGATAGTTAATACATTGTCAATGAGTAGGACCGCTAGGAATAGTTAATATTCTGTCAATTAGAAGGATTGCTAGGAACAGTTAATATACTGGCAATGAGCAGGATCGCTAAGAACAGCTAATATATTGTCAATTAGCAGGATCGCTAGGAACAGTTAATTTTTAATTAGTATGATCGCTAGAACAGTCAATATACTGGCAATGAGTAGGATCGCTAAGAACAGTTAATATATTGTCAATGAGTTGGTTTGCTAAGAACAGTTAATATAAAATAAAATAAGTGACAATATAGTAAAGTATTTGTTTAATAGTTTACAAACTGACGTTGCATAATCAATAATCATGGTTTGTGAATTTAAACATTAAATTTTCAAAATGTGAAATTTTCTAAAATTTCAAAATACGATATTGGAAATCTTAAAGATATATTTTAGTTATTTTCAAGTGATTAAATTTCAAACTCAAGTTTTATTTATTTTAGTATTTTAGTATTTTATTTACTTTAGTATGATTAAGGTTGAAAAGTTATGATAATGCATTGATTAATTATAGACGACTTAGGACGAGTGTAACTATGGTACAGGGTTACCCACAAAGGATGAGACGTCAGAGACGATTGTACGGAATTTGTAAAGTCTATTTTCTTGCATTCAGGGTTCCAAAACTTGCTTTTTTTCTGTGCTTGATAATTTAGTAAACCATCAAAATACTCAATTGAATGCAGAAACCAAAAATCAAGTTCGAATCGTCATATTTTTGGAGTTATGGGTCGTCAGTGTCTCATCTTTTGTGGGTAACCCTGTACTTTAAGAAATTTAGAACATAATTTCAAGTCCCCAAGGAGCCCCAATTAAAAAGTTAAATACCACATGCACAACTTTACCTTTATCTGAGCTTCATTAAGGAAGATATAGTCATTTTACTCCAGGGTTACCCAATAAGGATGAGGCATAAACTCTTGATTTAAAGATCATTTGGCACTAAAAGAATTAAACTAACAGTATTACTGAGTTACGTTAGAGTTAGCTGCAGGAAACCATAGTTTTAAGAAACAAGACGATATTAGATTCCAAACAACCGTTCCTTAGGTCTCATTTGTTTTACCTCAAACTTGCTTAATTCTGTAAAATTTAATCATTCACTCTGCCTCTATAGATCCACAACTCAATCACTTTTAAAAAGAAACCATGATTGACTGTTAGCAATTTAAAGATAGAAAAACGGTTATCTTCGCCATTTTGAACACCGTTGTTAATTCATCTAATGTAAGTATTGAATATTCTGATCATGCAGAAACATCTTTGCTGTCTTTCTAATTCAGAAAATTAATATTTTAAAGGGACTGTATCACGTGATACAGACTAAGACACATGCCAACGATACTGCACTGCCATTGGTCGTAGTTCTATTCACGTGATACAGACGATTCAATTATATTACCAATTATTTCTATTAAAGATGAAAAATTATTAAATTCAAATGATAATAGAAGCAAACCTAAGTTTTTCAGGCTCCTCTTGGATATCGTCGTTTCCAGGTTGGTTGGGTATTTGCTGAATATGGCCTGTTTAAACCTACGATTTTTATACAAAATTTTATTCGTTTAAATTTTTGTATTAATTTGACACAGTTTTAAATCAAGTTCTCGAGACAAGAACATCATATAGAACTCTGATGGGTCTCGATAAAATCCTAAACTGCTTAGGTTTCAGTCTATACCCCCTTGCATTTTCCTTCACAGTCCCTTTAAGCTTAAAATATGTAATAAATCTCTTTATTTTATAACGATAAAAATAATTTACACCATTATTTATCTGGAAGACATGATTTCTTTGAATCTAAAAGAATAAAATAACGAGTATTTTTTTCGTTGGACCCGAGATTGTCGTAAATTTTCTGTTTATTTACTCGAAACCTTATCTAGCAAAGATCAATAATCTTTATTATTTATATGGAAAAACTCCAACGACGGAACGCTGTAAACATAAAAGAAGAAGAAAATCTATTCTATATAATAAAGCTCTTCACTCATTTATATTTGTCATAAGGATGACCGAATAGGCTGAAATTTGCTTAGGAAACCCATGATGGGTGCCCGGGGATTAACATATAGGCTAAAAAAATTTCAACAAAAATCAAAATAATTTTTTTCAAAAATCTTTAAAAACTTTTTTTCCACGGGCAATGCCAGGCTATTCAGCTAGTATATAATAAAGCTCTTCGCTCATATATTTCTATATTTAAATATGTTAACTATAACTGGCCAAACGGCTGAATCGAATTGGCTGAAAGTTTTTGATTGAATGATTAATTAATTATTTGTAAGTGTACATTTGAATTTCCGAGCCGGGTCAACCTTTCCGGTCCCAGTTTATGCTGTACCTAGCTCTATAGACAGAACTAGCAGGTGCAACAAGGTTGACGCGGTCAGACTTGATGCTTCATATACTTTTACTAAAGGGGCAGAGCTGTGTGCTGCTTAAAAAGGAAACACTGTTTTGAAAACTATTGAATAAGACGATTTATCTTGAGAAATAGGAATCTGGACCGTTATTTGGCTATAATTTTTCTAATTTTTAAAATATTTAAAAGCGCTTTTTCGGTTGGAGTTCTGCATAAAATTTCCAAGAAAATGATGTACAATATGAAATTTTTGAAAATATTTGTTTAGGGTTGACGGTAATTTCTCCGTTATTAAATCGTCAATTCGTATGGACGATTTTGAAATATTTTTTGTATAGCAATATTTTGTTTAAGTGAAAACGGTACAACCCCTGGTGGGCGGTTGGATTAATTTCAATATTGATCACCCTTACTGTATATTCCTTCTTCATTTTATTGCAGATACAAAATTTGATATTTTATTCTTCTCGAATTTTGTTGAATTCATTAAACTGTACTAAACTTTATTAAAGCTTATTAAACCGTTTGATTTTGATTTAACAAGTTTTTCATGGAAATTTTCAAATAAGCAATTTCTTAAAATATGATATTTAACTTTAATATCAAATTTTAAAACTTTCATTGATTTAAAAACTGAAAGTAGAAGAATTATTTTTTATTTTGATTTTATTGTTAAACTCTTAGAGAATCTAGAGGATCTTATTTAGAGGGAAATCACCGAGCTTTACCCCGATATAAGAGGAAGCTAGTGGTGGTTGGGGGCTCTCCTTGCTACTCTTATCTTAAAATGACGATTTAAAGCTGTGATGAATTTGTTTCAGAATAACAAAAAATCAATCCTGATCCTGATCCTGATCCTTATCCTTTTCCTTATCCTGATCCTGATCCTTATCCTGATCCTGATCCTGAACCTGATCCTGATCCTGATTCTGATCCTAATACTGATCCTAATACTGATCCTAATCTTGANTTCCAGGGGACTATATTTCAGATTTCTCATGTTCCAGGGGACTATATTTCAGATTTATCTGGTTCCAGGGGACTATATTTCAGATTTCTCATGTTCCAGGGAACTGTGTTATTGAAACACACTAAAAATTTGTAATTCCTATATCGTTGCAACCTGATAGTGTAAACCTTTGATATATTAAACTTGACTTTCCAATCTTACAGAATTAATATTTTGCAATATTAAAGGTCTAGGAAAGATATAAGGATTAAAGATTTGGAGTTTGCGACAAAAACTCATTTCCGTATCAAAAATCATGTCGTCTTCGAATTCCAGTGTTTGGTCGTCATATGATGATAATAATTAAACAGAAAAGCTCAACAAAATTTTATTGCTTAATAATCTCAAGAAATTTGTTGAGTCAAATGCTTTTTTTTAGTTAAAAATACACAAAGAAGTTTAAAGGGGTTTTCTCAAAAAGGGCTCGACAGGGATTTCTAAAAATCTACATGCTAGACCTAGACATAGTCTAATTTCAGAATCTATAAAAACCTAAGGTGTCTTTGTTTTTAAAACCTACTTGATAGCTGAGGTGAACAGTGAATTATATCATGAATAAGCTGAATAAACACATTAAATACAATGGATAAACTTTCATGGTTAATATAGGTGTAACATACACTTCTTTCTGATTTGACTTACACATGACATTTTGCTTGCCAACATTGCATGAGGAAATTTTCTCAATTATTTAGTCAAACTTGCATGACATTCAATTTTACAGCATAAAAATTTTCTTTTCACAAAAAACCTTAAAACAACTTTACCTATAAAATAACTAATACTCAGTGTTTGTGAGTCTCTTGCAGAGCTTTCAGAGACGAAGCCATTTTAATTAATATAGGACATCTCCCTTTCAAAAAAAAAATTAGATATTGTAGCAATTTTATCTTTGATAAACGATAGAAAAAGAACTGTATATATATTGAAGTCTAAAGATACAAAGAAAAACATATAACGTGTGTATTACAGATATAATTTGGTTTGGCTTGAAAGATTGGAAGACGAGGTGCAGCACGTGCAAGGGCTGAAGTCGGAGGTATCGGATCAGGAGGTTTTGGATTTGGAGGCCGGCCTCGGCGAGGTGGGTCTTGTGAAACCACAGGAAACTCAGACAGAACCGCTTCAGTCTGTCCACAGATACAGAATCAGTTTTGGAACCAACCTGGAGGAGANCGGAGAATGAGTCCAGCATTGATTGAGTCCAGATTAGAGACAAACCTTTTCCCTTCAAAGCCTCGGTTAGGGGGAAAAGAAGTCCTGCTGCTCCTCTGATGAAACGTCTGTAAAAGTTGATGATACCCAGAAAACGCTGTAAACTTTTCTTGTCAGAGGGTTGAGGAAAAGTAGAGATCACAACAGTGTGCTTGGATAAGGGAACACAACCTTCTGCTGAAACTTTCAACCCAAGATACTCGAGAGAAGGAGCTGCAAACACACATTTGTCCTTGTTTATACTTAGGCTGTGGAGGCGGAGTCTGTCAAGAACCTGGCGAACATGTTGGAGATGATAATTGATATCCGGGCTGGAGATTAGTATATCGTCCACATAAACGTAACAGTGTGGGATATCTCTGAGGATTTAGGTCCATGAGGCGTTGGAAAGTACAACCTGCATTTCTGAGTCCGAAAGGCATCCTTACCCACTCAAAAAGGCCGAAAGGAGTGATAACCGCTGTCTTGGGAATGTCTCCAGGGGCCATTGGAACTTGATAGTATCCCTTGGTTAAATTCAGCTTGGTAAATATTTTGCATCCTTTCAGTCTTGACGTAAAATCAGCAACATTTGGAAGAGGATAACGGTCGGGAATTGTCTGTGTGTTTAGACGGCGGTAATCGCCACAAGGTCTCCAAGACTCGTCAGGCTTCTGGACCATGTGGAGCGAACTAGCCCAGGGGGAGGACGACCGGCGGATAACTCCAGCAGCTTCCATGGCAGCAAACTCTTTCCTAGCTGACTCCAACTTCTCAGCATCAAGACGACGAGCCTTCGCGAACACAGGAGGACCAGGGACAGTAGGAACACTGTGGAGGACTTGCTGATTAGGCTTAGAAGAGCTGAAACCTTTGGCAGAAACAACATCAGGATATTCTGCCAGCAAATCACGAAACTCCTGCGGTGTAGAAATCAGTGCTGCGTAGAGATGAGATTTGCTGTTGGATGAAGATGAAGATACAGCAGGGAGAGACTCCAAAGTTGTTGCATCAAGGAGACGGGAGCCGGTTATGTCAACCAGGAGATGAAAATGTTGGAGAAAGTTGGATCCCAGGATAGGTACAGAGACACCTGCCAACAGAAAATTCCAATCAAACCGTCTGGAACCAAACTGGAGAGCTAAATGGCGGTTTCCATAGGTATCCATAGGGGAACCATCAGCGGTTCTGAGTTGTAATCCTACAGCAGGGGATGTAGGAGAACAAGGCAGGTGAGGGAACACAGATACAGAGGCCCCAGTGTCTACTAGGAATTTGAAGAAGAAAGTGAATTTCTTAGAAAAATCAAGTTACTTGACATCGAATAGGTGGGAATCGTGTTGAGATAATCCCCACCGTTTACTAGTTTCCCAAATAAGAACAGAGAGCTCTACACTGAGTTGCATCATCTCCCCAGCGATGGTGGTACCAACACTCAGAAGAACCACATGAAGGGTTTGGTGATGGTTTAGGTTTTGTCTTCTGTCCTCCAGAAGAAACCTTGTGTTGTAGAGCGTTTACTTCCAGAAAATTCTCATCAGAAACCATGTTAACAGTGCTAGATTTTCCACGAATAGTCCACAACTCGCCTGCTCGCAGAGCCATTCTTCGAGGATCACTGATTGACTCAGTGAGTAGGTGAGACCTGATGTCAGCTGGGAGCCTGTCCATAAACAATCCTCGAAAGAAAAATCCAGGCTTCTCTTCCTCAGGATCAGCATGAGCATTTTATCCATTAACTCTGAGGGACGCTGGTCTGAGAGGAGAGGAAGATATCGCTGAAAATCACTTAATGAATACATTTGAATTAAACACCGTCATAGAGCTTCATATGAATCGGCAGGGGAGCTCTTACTAAATCCAGGAGACGACAGGCAACATCTTGGGGCAACGCAGCTACACAGTGTGTGAACTTAGTATGGGAAGCTGTAATACGTTTGTTCTCAAATTGTGCCTCAGCTTGAATAAACCAGACTTCATGGGAATCGGTCCAAAAAGTTGGCAATTTCACGGAGATCCTTCTCAGAGGGATCGGATCCCGAACAGTAGGGTTTTCTGCCATTGCTACAGCTGAAAAAGAAATAACAGGACTCGATCCCCGGAAACCCTACTTTGGTAATTTGGTATGAAGAGCACAGGAACCCGGTCGGAACCAATTTCGGGTACGTCAGCGAGAGTTAAATCTTCGGTAAAAAAGATCACGTTGGGGTCACCAAAAATGTAGCAACTTTATCTTTGATAAACGATAGAAAAAGAACTGTATATATATTGTAGTCTAACGATACAAAGAAAAACATATAACATGTGTATTGCAGATATAATTTGGTTTGGCTTGAAAGATTGGAAGACGACAATGTTGGTCTTCTACAATATTCTATTTGCCTTTCAATCTTCTGTAAACTAAATATGTAAAGAAAAATGAAAGGGGGTATAGGATAAAACCTAAGAATCTCAGGCGTTGAACGGTGCATATAAGACATCTATCTGATGTTCCTGTCTCGAGAAATTGATATAAAACTGCAGTGTCAAAATTATGAGAAAATTCATATATATAAACAATTTTGAATAAAAGTAGTAGGTTTAAACAGATCATATTCTTTAAATACGCAACCAATTTAAAAATGACTATATCCCACAAGTGCCTAAGAATCTAAGGTTTGCTTCTATAATGATTTTTAAAATTTTATTTTGCATTTTTGATAAATATAATTGATAATACAATTTTATTTAGTCCATATAGTCCGTATTACGTCACCAGAACTTCAGCCAATGGTACTGGTCACGTGATACAGACGGAAGTCACGTGATCCAAAACAGAGAATCAAGCAGAAAATCAAAAGTGTCGACAATGGATGAAGAGACTTGCCAATTAGGTTTAAGGGTTTCTAGTATACAAAAGTTTCCAGCTCAAATGTTACACTTTTCAAATTCAAAAGTTGCCACAATGAATATCGAGATCAAGTGTTCTAGATTAGCAAAAGTTTCAACCACAAATAATTCATAAATATTGGATTTTAAGATAAGAATTAGATCCCTAGAGAGGTTTTGAATTATATATAATCATAATTAAAGACTTTATTTAAGAAAATTTAGCTCAGTTTCCCATCTTAATTTTCTGGTTGAGAATATCCTTCAACAATTCTTAGATCAATTTTTAGATTTTCATGGATCTTAGTTTTAAACTTAGAAACTTTGTCGAGCATAGAATTGGCCTATTAGATGGATTTATAACAGGGGGGGGAGGGGGGTATACTGAACCACATTATATTTTTGTTCGCGCTCGCAATTGCTGTTAAACAGGTATTGATTTTAAAATACTGGACGGCTGGTTATATATGTAACAACTTAAATCAACATTATAACATTTAACATAATATTTGCTTATACATAGCATACGTGTACATTGTGCATTTTGCATGGTGCCCCACAAGGTAAGAAACTTCAAAGAAGACATGAGTAATTTATTCAATTTACTTTTTCAAATTCATACGACCCGTGTCCGAATTTAATGAATTTAAGCCGCGTCTAAAATCCGCCAAAAACCGGTTTCAATTGAGCGCCGGCTTAAATCTTGAAACATTGAATATAATTTTAAGTGAAACCTAATATATTTGAGCCGCCGCTCAAATTCTTTAAATTCCGCCTCGGGGGTTTTAAAGGACACTTATTCTTTTTTCTTTCACTCATCATTTTAACGGATTTAATAAATTATGATACCTGTGTGGTGAGATATTTTAAGATCCTCAATTCGTGGAATTTAAAGAAGTAATTTTAAAGTCGTCATTATAATCTTATCCTTTAAGAAAGTACAGTATTATTTATTAAAATTTTGAAATTAGCCAATAGATAGATAGATAGATATATTGAAAGTGCAATTTATATTTGTAACTTCCTATCTGTTTCTCCGGCCGCATATGTTCATAATGCAGATATATTGTAGTGCTATCACAATGTTTCAGATTGAATTGAACATTATCAATAATAGATATTATATTTTATCCCAATGAAACGTATCATGTAAAAATCCACAAGCATAGAATACATTCATTAAAAACATTAACGATATATTCGGGAAAAGATTTATTGAAAAATGAAAATACAAACAGAATGAAATTAATTTTGATGCACACAATACACAAGAAATAATATTACGTTTTACATAAGGTTATAATGCAAAGAAAGTTAATTACAGTTGCGTATACTCTGCGCACATATATAAACCAGTTCTCTCTGGGCAGAAGAATAGATGCATCTGCAGTGTTCGTCTAGTATCCGTGGAGGATAAAAGCATTTAATTGACATAATAATTTCCTTTGACCAGAATATTTCATTGATTTTTTTTATGTGAAAGATGGATCCCATGTTGCAGGCTACATTACCGCCCAGAGACAGTACACTGCAGTGCAAAAGATGCTACACCACTGAAATAACTTTCCTTGCATTACAACCTTGGTTTTACACATATAAGATCAGAGATAGGTGTTTAGCTTTATATGAATCAGATTCCTTTCTAAATAGATGTATAACTACATGTATATATCCTACATATATTTTTAGATATAGATATAGATATAGAATAGCTATAGAGAAATAATCTAATAACAAAAGTTAGAACAAGTGTAAAATATCAATAATACACTTACACTAGTAATACTTACAAGTAGAGAAGATTAAAAACGAATTTTTGGAATGTTTTTGATGAAAAACTTAAATAAAAAATATGGCAGTTCGATGACGCTCTAAGATTGTATAAAATTTAAAAGTTTACACAAATTTTTTTTTATTAATTTGAACAAATTTATTCATAAGGTTTATATAGGCTTAAAGCTGTATTTTAGCTTCAGTATTTTACAATCATCATGCAGTTATAAAACAAGAAAATTAAAGCAGAAAACATTTAACAAAATATTTATATTTTACTCGTTAAAAAAAATGTTGCTTTTTAAATCCCTTCCGTTTTCTTTTCTCTGAACACATAATTGTTAATTCTTTGCAAGGTTATTTAAGTTATTTCAGAGGTGTACGCATCCTTTGCACTGCAGTGTACTGTCTCTGGGGGGTAATGTAAACACAAGACGGATGTTGAAGCCTGACATACAGGGTGTCCCACATCAAATAAGACCGCGTCAATGGGTCTAAATTACGATTTGGGGGATAGATCAGAAAATTTATGAAGAATGAATCATTTAAAAAAAATTAATAAGGCTAATAGAAAATTTTGTTGGCGGAAAATGCTAGATTTTTCGCGTATTATTTGCGTATTTTGGCGTTAAAAATTGTTGATAATCTAATATGATATGGGACGCTCTGTAGGTCCCATCTTTCACATAAAAAATCAATGAAATATTCTGGTTATAGGAAACTATTATGTGAATTATCAAAGTTTAATGCTTTTAACCTTCTCGGATACTAAACGAACACTGATGCATCTATTCTTGTTTACAAATTCCGCCCAGAGAGAACTGGTTTCAATTTGTACGCAGAGTATACGCAACTGCAAATTAACTTTCCTTGCATTAAAACCTTGATTCTTTGTAAAAATATTAACATTTATAGAACATTGGTAGGTTACTGTAAACATTGAAAATTAACTTTATTAATGGCTGCCACAACACTGAACAGTACACATTTTAGACTCAAATTTTTATTTTTTTTGGGGGGAGGGGGAGTTGATGAGTTCATTTTAAGATAAAACAACAATAGCAAACTTAAATATCCTTTGATTTCTATGTAATATGTTCGCTATTACCCTTTATTAATACTCACCAGTTGCAATTTCGCCCTTTCTCGTACTCCTTATTGAGTACATGTTCAGTAGATTTGTAGATTTTCCCAAATAGGTTTTGCGGATTTCCAAATTACAAATGGCTATATTGGATTTATTTACATTTGACAAAGATCGTGATATATATTATACTATTCATGAGATTAAACATATATATAACTAAGAAAACCATTCTTGATAAATATGATAATAATTTATTTACAATATTACACAAGTTAGATGATGAATCACTGAGCTCAGAATAAAGGATTATTATATAAACATTTGTAAACTTTAAAAAAAAATAGATTAATGAATTATGTAAATCATACACACATTATGTAAAGTACATTAAAAACGTCAATATTGAACTGTTCATAAAATTGTGTATAACATTTAGCTTATTTGGCCTTTAGGAGGGGGAAAATGCAGGAAAGGGGGGGAAATGTTAAAAGTAGAGGGGGAAATGCAATATAGAGTCCAGAATTGAGTTTTCTGACCCAAAGTTAATGACTTTGGACACCCCAAATGGACCTGTCACAAAGTTTTTAAAAAAATGTCCGAAAAATGCGGAATTATTTTTCCCCCCACTTTGTTTTTTAATCCAAAATCTGGATCACAATTCAGGTCTGCATGCAAAAAATTAGAGATAAATCTCTTGTAATAAAGTCGAAAGACTTATTTGGCCTTTAGGAAGGGAAAAATGCGGGTAAGGGGGGGAAATGGTATAAGGAGAGTTTTTAAAAAAATGTCTGAAAAATGCGGGAAAAATTCAGGCCTGCATGCCAAAAATCAGAGAGATATCTCTAAAAACAAAGTCAGAAGGCCCCCCCCACCACCACCCTTTGTATGGAAATGTGGACATTTCCCTTTAGTCTTTTAATAGCTTATTATATGATTTAGCAATGCGAGCAAAAATCCACTTGCGTTGGAAAGCCTAGATTGATTATTGTAAAGAAACATATTTAGAATAAATTCCGTACAATCGTCTCTGATGCCTCATGCTTTGTGGTTAACCTTGCATAGGTACACACCAACTTTACAGTTTGTTGTGAAAGGTGTACACCATATCGACTATTAAAGTCTGTTTAAACATTTTCTTATCCTTACTTTCATTCCTACTTGGGAGGATAAAAAACTGTTTTAGGTTTAGTAAACTTTAATACTTATTTACCAAGTTGTGTCGGGGTAATACAATTTATCAAGGTTAGTTTAAAGGGAGAGATCCCAATATTTGGAAAGAGAAATATTTAAGTTTTCGATCATAACTCATCTTATTAAAAGAACATAACTATTTTGATCTTTAATATACGAAACACCGAATACATTGTGTCAAACCAAATCTAAAGGAGCTACGAGGTCACAACGTCGTACCAGTTGTGTCGCATAAATTCACCCTCTCCGTCTGTATAATTTACTGTGAGATATAAAAATATTTCAATTGTCTTAATTCAATAATGAAGAAGACCATTCATTGTATAAAAGTAATTTTTACATGGGATTTTTCAAATTTTCACAATTTTGTTTCAAAATGTAATGTTCTGGACTCTGGAGTTAAAGTTTGGATTCAATCTACTGGTCTCAGCTAATTTACTTAACATGTTCTATTGGTCAACACCAATTATAGGTTTGTAGCACTAAAATCATAGAAGAAAATCCGAGTTTTTTGTCAAAAAATCAATTCTTTAGGAGGACATTGCGCGGGAGTGTTTTCAAAAAAAATTCCTAAAGCTTATACTTTCCTATAACCTTGTATTCCTATTCCATCTTTTTATTGTAATATACAACTGCTAGATCACTCTCTACTAAAACCCACTATTTCTTCGGTCAGAGTACTGCAAATTACTGCTCTACACACCGAAAGATTAGTTGAGGATGATATATCCGGGGTTTAATTAACTTGGACATTTTTCAGAAATAATTCTTTGACATGTTTTTCATTAAAACTTTTTAACTAGGAATTCTCTAGAGTAAATCTTCCCCAGAAATAATAATGCTTACATCGTCTCATATAGAATATTACATTTGCGGTGTAAAATGGCGAAAATTCGATCCTTAAAGTCCTCCCTGGCGTTCGCCCCCAGACGGGTTTTGACGCAGCAAGGCTGCCCAGCAGGTTGTGGCGCTGCGAGGCTGCCCAGCAAGAAGTACCACGCCACAACCTGCCTGGGGGCGAGCGCCAGAAGGATTTTAAAGATCGATTTTGCACTCTTAGTTAGCAATTATTCACCATACAAACGCCTTCTAGGTCTCAAATAGTTAAAAAAAAAAAATTTTCTTCAAAACTGTACTTTCAACTCAAATACTATGCCTAGCCAGATACTCCCTGTAAGTACTCCCCCCCCCCTTGGTATCCCCCTTAAATTTCGGCGAATATATCTCGTGGTAGAATCCTGGTATGAAACTATATATGGGCAGGTTTTTGCCAGGAGTCAAAATGAGAGTTGGCGGATTCTTTAGCTTTTTCCAGGATAAACTAAATCAGCAAAACGGCAGAAAACTTTTAATCCAAAGATTTTGTTCACCATTTTCTGATAAATTTTGTAATAGCATTCTTTTTAATTTTTGTTAAAAAGACGTTCAAAATCTTATGAAAAAATATATTTTTGGCTGAACTTTTAACATGTTATAATTGGTATATATCATCCCATAGAAAGATGTCCAGGCTCTTAGCTCTTTGAGCTCTTTCATCTTTCATCAAATATTTTAGCATTTATACTATGTAAGAGGTTCAAGTTGGACAATATCTTAAGATTATTATCAATATTTTACATAGATAAAGATAGATTGCGCATAAGACGACATTTTTCATCTTGAAAGATATAAATGTACAGAGATGTCTTAAATATATTCCTATTATATAGATTAACTAGGTTGGTTGTGAACATTGGCTGTTCTAATGTCATTGAGTACTTGTGGTGTACATGAGTTCTGTAGAGAGAAATTTAAGTTAGTCAATCCTTCTCATGTCCTTCTTCAGTTCTCTTCAATATGATATATTGCTCAATGAAATAAAATTCACTCCTGAGTGGTTTAATAATTATAAAATCCATTAAAACACCAAACCACCCCGCTTATCATTGAAGTACAATTGGACCCCAAGAAGTATGAGTGCGCGGACTGTACAATTTTTGATGATTTTGCTTACACAAGCTATCAATGTTTATTTATTTATCTATGATATAGTAAGTAAACATATCTATGGATGCCCTACTCCTAAAACTGTTTTCAGACCCTTATCAATCCAGGTACAATTTAATCTAAAACTCAAACTCAAAACTTATGAATACCATAGTCAATATCAATGCCTGAAAACCCTGGAAATAAATGATGTTAATCATGCAGGAAAGAAGGATACTGATTTGAGAAATATTCCCAATCTATTGATTCAGGACGCTTCTTGTTGGCTGACCAAGAAGAACAACTCTCTCACCGTAATCAAAGCGGAGTATTATTCCAACTAAATGTATTTTGGGTTCTTTGTTACAAGTTTAGTTAATCAACATTTATGTTGTTATATACAAACATGATTAAGCTACATGTTGTACGTAGTTATATACAGGGTAGTTAAGGTAAATCATGTTACATAGTTTTTTTACAGCACAGTTAAGATAAATCATGATATGGGTTTTGCAACTATTTACAAACGTAGATAATTAATAATGTATACCATAGTTCAGGTTTACAGATTTAGGGTTACACAATATTCATTACATGGGAATTATTTCTGAAGTTTCCATTGAAATAACTTGAGAGCCAATAAATATTTAGGGTTACACAATATTCATTACATGGGAATTATTTCTGAAGTTTCCATTGAAATAACTTGAGAGCCAATAAATATTTTTAAAACTTTATCAGAAATTATAAATTATAGATTGTTATCGTTGAACCCACTATTAACATTTTTAAAATATTATAACACAAAAATCAAAATGGTGGTCTGTAACCCCCCCAATTATGGTTGAAAAATATTTAACGATTATATCAAAATACTAATATATTCTCTTAAGGGACTATAAAGTAAAATATACAATTTACAATCGGCACCTATCCTGATATTGCAGCCTACTAACCAACCAAGAATGTAAAAAAAAATTACTTAAATTCCTGGTCTTTGAAGTCTCAATTGTTAAGGGTAACTCTGTTTATAATTTATCTAAGCTAGGCTTTTAGTGTGCTTCGCGCCCATCTTCTATTTCAATTGTGAACAAGTTATCTTTGTGTACATTGCAAAACAAAAACAAACCAAGAATTTTGCGGATTATATAAAAAATGACGTTGATTTTCAAAATTTTCAAAAATCGAATTTTGTTAGAGGTAATTTTTTTTTATTTGATCATCCATAAACCTTGCCTTTGGTCACGCGAGGTCCCACACAAAATTTGGGTCCGATCGGCCTAGCCGTTTTGACGTTTATTGGATACAAGCAAACAGAAAAAAACAGACAGACAAGCAAAGCATATATATAGATGTATACTGAAGGGATTAAATGAAACAATATATTTGCCTTTAATTAATATCGGCAAAGTGCAAATAATATGAATCTAAATCTTTGTAATATTAGACATCATGATACAGGGGAATGTACGATAATAATCACAGTGGCGTGAATGGGAAAGGAAGGGGGGGGGTAATTGCCCAAATTTATACCCATCCATAGAATATTTGTTTTTCTAGTTTTTAACCATTGAAGAGTTTGACATCAAAATATTCTAAAATTATTCTAAGGCTGGTGAACTTAAAACACAGTGATTTATAGTTTTTAAGTTCCTGTAAATAGAGTCAAAAATGTTCAAAAATGAGCAAATATAGTTTTCAAATTTGGAAGGGGTTGGGTTAATAACTTTTTATCCTCCGATAATTCTGGTTGTAGATTATTCACTAGAAACATAGGCAAACCAAAGACAAGAATAAAATGACATGTTTTTAAAATATTTGATCAGAGCTGGGAACTTTAGAATGGTAGATATCAGGATTAATGCTTAATCCTCTCTTTTTGCTTATCTCGAGACTATCAAAATCTCGAGATCAACAAGTTTGATTCTAGGAATACAAAATTTGCTTATTTTCTTGACTGGAAGGGCCTTCTCTTAATTTCTCACTTTTCTTTATAAATACATTAGTTAAATTCGTTTAAAAAGGAATTTTAAACGTATTATCAAATAATTTTCTTCACTGATTAATTTACAAAATGGCCGACAATAAATTTTTAATTTGTTAGCAATTGCGGATTTCTCTCATGGAATAGAATTTATTTTCAAGGCTGTCATTGGTCAATACAATTTACGAACTATATTCCTACACTCTCATTGGAGAAAACAATGTACGGATATCCAAAGAGAGAAAAAAAGAGTGGATTAAGGACTAAAATTAAATGTTTCTACCGTGGATATTCGGATTAAGTAGTTGGGATTAAAGGTATCCCATTCTAAAGTTCCCAGCTCTGGTTGCTTTGAAATTCACAATTGAATAATTATCTCTTATTAGAAACGTAACATTTATCATGGCCGGGTCTTGTCCAGTTTTCTTTGAAGAAAAGACATGACTTGCATTTGAATATTGCGCAGAGAGGAAAGGGTACCAGAAACAAATCAATTCTTAGCTTAACATTGAAATGGGGGCCATGTTCTTAATTATAACTTAATTGTAATCAAATCGTATATCTATTCATTATTATAATTCATACATATATTTTTTTCTGCAATATAGATTTGAATGGAAGCAATGCTAAATGATAGCACCGGGCAAAAAAATTTCTTCGAAAATTCTTTTGAAGATTATTATGAACAAAAGTTCTAGACAATAACATATCTTTTTTCATTAACTGTAAAATCATCTATTTTAATGAAAAAGAATAAGAGGGATTACAAGGCGTCTTCATAGAAATATATTAAACTAGCTTGGGAACCCAACTTTGTCTGGAAACAAAATTTTTCTGTAACTCATCCCACTCAATTTAGAATTTTTAAACAATGCTATGGAACATTTCCGTGATTCTTCCGAGTTTATACTCAAAATTTGAGGCAAATCGGTCAAGTTATGAACGACCCCACAAACAGACAAACAAACATACGGACACCCAAACAGAGATTACTACTTTTATACATACGATGTTTTAAAATAAACAATCATACATTATTATGTTATATTTTGGAATTGAAAAAAATACTCTTAATATTGCTTTCTTAAATCACTTTCAAAGAAAAATAAAAATAAAATTCCCTACAGGAATATTATTCATATTCCATTCATATTTTTATTCAACTACAAAGCATGATATAATACAATTGCAATCACAAATTATTAAATTAAATTATTAAATTCCAATATTCAATAAAATTAATTTTTTTTTAAATATAAGCTTTTTTTCAGATAAAAATGGAAGGAGAGGGGGAGAGAATTCGATTAGTTGTTATGGGAGATAGGTAATCAAGGAACTGTGTCAACTTTTTCATACCGGTTCAATCCTTCAATACATTTTTATAAAAGATTTAAAAATATGTGATAAAGTTTATTATAAATTATTGAACAATCTTAATATGGTTCGGTTAATATCGATTTAACGGAACAAAATATTGTATTCTTCGATAAAAATAAGACGTTATTTAGTTTGAAAAAAGTAATTTGATCAACACTTTCCATATTTATTAATACTAGCCTTAGAGGGCGCTTCGCGCCCATCTTCTAAATTAGTTGTGAACATGTTCTCTTTGTGTACATCGTAAAACAAAACAAAAATAATTCGCGGATTTTCACAAAAAATTTCGCGGATTTTCACAAAAAATTTCGCGGATTTTCAAAATTTTTAAAAATTTAATGACGATCGAATTTTGATGGAGACAAAATACAACATTCCAGGTCAGTTTCTATATACAACATTCCAGGTCAGTTTCTATATACAACATTCCAGGTCAGTTTCTATATACAACATTCCAGGTCACTCAGACTTAGGGTTAATTCCGGCAACGTTTATACTTTTTTATCCGTTAGTTAAGGTTTAATTAGATTAACGTTTAGTTGATTAGTTAGGACTTAGGAGTAACGTTCAGTAATTAGATTACGTTTAATTAGATTAACGTTTAGTTGTTTAGTTAGGAGTAACGTTCAGTAATTAAATTACGTTTAATTAGATTAACGTTTAGTTGTTTAGTTATGAGTAGCGTTAGTAATTAGTTAACGTTTTATTAGATTTACGTTTAGTTGTTAAGTTAGGAGTAACGTTTAGTAATTAGTTAACGTTTTATTAGATTAACGTTTAGTTGTTTAGCTAGTAGTAACATTCTGTAGTTAGTTAAAGTCTAATTATATTAATGATTATAATTAATTAGTTAACGTTTAGTTTGCTAAACTTTAGTTACATTATTGCTTTGTTAGTTAATAATTAGTTAGATTAGATAAGATATCTAACGTTTAGTTAGATTAACGTTTAGGTAGATTAACGTTTAGTTAGATTATAGTTAGTTAGTTTACATTTAGTTAATTAACGTTTAGTTAGATAACGTTCAGCTAGTTAACCTTAAGTTAGTAAACATTCAATTAGTTAACATTTAGTTAGTAAACCTTTAGGTATTTAACATTTAGTTAGTTAAGGTTTGATTAGTTAACCTTTAGTCAGTTAACGCTTATTTGGTTAACATTTAGTTGGTTAACTTCTAGGTAACTAACATTTAGTTAGTTAATGTCTAGTTAGTTAATATCTAGTTAGTTCATCTATGTATCTATCACATAACTATGGATGTCAATATAGTATTGATTTATAAGATGATAAAAATGTTTAACAAAATGTGGAAATATGAATGATAAGTTGGAAAGGAAATTAAACTAAAAATGTTTGTTTTTGTTGTAACTTTTATGTAACTTAGTCTGGAAAACTGTTTTATGACTGTAATTTCCCTAAATATGGGGTATATCTTGAACCTAACTTTGATAAATTATGCCTTCATTGGATAATAATGAAAATGTACATGCATGCATTACATATTCATATTATTACGTTGTAAAGTTGAGCTGAACACACATTTTCCTAGATTAACTTTGTCACTTTTTTACACATTGCACTCCATTCAAACTTAAATATGAATTTATCCATGACAGCTCCTTTATGGAATTTTACAGACAAATCATGAATTCGTTGGAGATATCACTGGTCGATTTTACATTCTTCTTAGACCCATGTCCGGAGTTATTTTGAAGAAAAATTTTTTAAAAATAAACAAATAAAATTTTACAAATGGCAAAAGAACTTCACCTCACGTACGGGGTGCTAGAGCGTCGGGAAACCCGTCGGTCGCAGGGTGCAATCTAAACTGCCCTTAAATTGTGGAAAATGTTTAGATTAATGATTTAATGTTAAAAATCTGAACTGGTTAATAATGTTTTCTATCTGTAGAATATACAACAAAGTAGGAAATATATTTCGATGTTTTTTTCATATCATCATCAGTCCAAGGACAGATTTGACCGATGTATCGAATAATTTAGATAGTTCATGAGCAATTATTACAAATTTTGTTAAATTAAAATACAATGAGTTTGATGTTTAGGATAAGTATAAACCAACCGTAGAGGATTTGTACTCTGAGGATTTCACAGTTGGAGATTCTAAACTCAAGGTACAGACCAGAATACTCATACTTTTCATATCATGCACATGTTCATGTACTTGTTCATGTACGATTCTAAACTCAAGGTAACAAACCAGAATACTCATACTATTCATACCATGTACGTGTTCATGTACTTGTTCATGTACGATTCTAAACTCAAGGTACAAACCAGAATACTCATACTTTTCATATATCAAACTATGCATTTTTCTTCAATAGTCAAAGTTTGAAATACTAAAGTTTTTAATCCTCAAGGGGCAAAGATTTAGGGAGTAGAAAATTAGAGTTTGTTGTGAGTAATCAGTTCTTTAAAGCGATCTTTTAATAAAACACAAAGGTTCCTTGTTGTGATCTGTTCTTTAATGTATTTTACTGTAAGAAAATATAAAATTATTAATGTGAATATCATAGTAGTCTTGGGGTCTGGTCATACTGTTATGTGTACATTTTAATTAATATTCCGGCGTTGATGTACTACGAATCAGTAACATTTTGCCTAGTACACTTTCGCCTAGTACTTATTCGCTAGTAAACATACGCCTAGTACTCATTCGCCTAGTACTCGTGCGCCTAGTACACATTTGCCTAGTACTCATTCGCCTAGTACTCATTCGCCTAGTACTCATTCGCCTAGTACTCATTTGCCTAGTACTCATTCGCCTGTATAACATTTTGCCTAAATAACATTTTGCCTGTATAACAGTTTGCCTGTATAACATAATAATTGAAAAACCTGTTCACAAATTTAATCCAGTCTCAGAATTAGGCGAAAAAACAGGTATACATTATCAAAACTTTGTATAGGCGAAAAATAAACTCAAATGTTAAATAGGCAAAATGTTACAGAGGCAAACTGTTATACATGCGAATGCGTACTAGGCGAATGTGCACTAGGCGAAGGTGTATTAGGCGAATGTGTACTAGGCGAATGTGTACTAGGCGAATGTGTACTAGGCAAAATGTTACTGACCTGGTACTACATGTATTAACTTCATATAGCGGACTATAGCGCTTCTAGTGTGAGAAATGATTTTAAAATCTACATCTACCTAATTCCGTTTGTACTCAAGTACACATGTACTCTATTCCTTATACTCAAGTACACCTATACTCGATTCCCTATACTCAAGTACGCCTATACTCTATTCCTTATACTCAAGTACACCTATACTCTATTCCTTATAACTCTATTATTATGCTTGATGTTTAAATAAGTGTACAAATGAATTTAAAGAGACTGTAAGCGTAATTTCACGTGACCCTTTTCCGCAAAGATGATAATGCCCGATTTACAACGGTACCTAATAGATAGATAGATACTGTCGTTTTTCTGACTCGAAAAGTGTTTATTTCTGAAAGTTTCTCCATTGCTTCTATGATACAAATTGCGCAAGTCACGTTCGCAGAGAAACCGGCAATGAAAATAAACAGTTTTGAGAAGCAAAAACATAGATATCTAATTCAATCTTGATTAGACAAATCTTTTAATGGTACTGTTGTAAATCGGGAAATGCCATCTTTGCATTATTATTAATATTATTATTATTATTATTAAAGACAGCTGTGTTTATCTGAACGTTCTCTGATAATTGATAAATTACAAGAACGTGAACGATTATATAATCAGCATCTAGAAACTAATAAAAGCTAATTAACTAAAAACTAATCATATATGTCAGGTTGATTTCCTGGACACTGCAGGAGATGATCAGGTAAACATTAAAGGAAATTTTAATAGAATAAGATACGGTGGTAGGCGATTAAAGCAATATAAGGAAGACGATTATTTAGTGAAGTTTTAATTGTTAACAAACTTTTTTCGAGTTAAAAGGTTACAAGTAACTATAGAGAAACTTTTTTCTCTATTTTCCGTGTTTTGTGTATCCATGCTGTTTAAAAGCTCGATTTAAATAAAAGTGGACATCGAAAGTCGTCTTCATTATATTGATAAAATCTCCTACCACCGTAAATAAATATTGATTTACTTTGCTTAATTCATCCTTGATGTAACTACTAGGTTTACACGGTGACGTTTAGATCAGACATTAGCCTTGTAAATTATTCAATTAGACTTCTATGTCTTAAATCCATTTGATCGATGAAAAACTAGCCTCACAAGGCAGGCTTTACAATATATCATGCAAATGAGCCCTGTTATAAGAGAAACATAACTGTCAAGATTCTGAAACTGCTCATTAAAATACTGTTTACAAATTATAATACGCAATTGTTGAATAATTTTGAATCATATCTTATTTTCTGTTAAAAAGTTTTCCATCAAATTTTATATTTAGTTTCCTGTAATGCGCAGATTATCCATAACATCAGGGCATGCTTTCCTTCTCGTATACAGTGTAACAGATCCTTCATCATTAGGTAACCACAGAGGATAAAGCATTACAGAGTTGGCATTTTCTATAGCTATATTTTTGTTAACGAATGAAATATTTCAAAACTAAGGATGTAGGAACAAACGTTCAAAGAAATACAAAGCTATTAATTAATCTAAAATGAGAATTTTATTGATCAGTCATGACCGTTAACGAGTTAACAAACTTGATCTTTAATAAATGATTTAAAAATTGTTTGTGAATTTTTTCAGAACCCCAGCCTAACCTTAACAATGAACGTACAAAAAAAACGAACGCGCACATTTCTAACTACAGCCTCTAGCTATTTGAACTGTATTTCAACAAACACGAATCTTTTTATATTTAATTTAAAGAGAAACGTTCTCCTGCATTTAAACCTTTTTATATCAGGAAATCTGGTATTAAAAAGATTTTCTTCTAAATCAAATCAATGCACCATGTTTCATTTCTTTAATAATTATTATAATAATTATTAAATTAAATATTTTACAGAACTGATTCAAACAAGAATTGAGGAAATACAGCAGCAGCGACCAGATTTTAAGGTGATTGCTTTAAATATATAAATGTTTATCCCTTCAATGGTTTGGGAATTCCCAATTGTAACAGCTGGGAACACTCCCTTTAATGTTTTAGGAGCTCCAAATAGTGATCGCTGGGAACAATCCCTTTAACGTTTTAGGAGCTCCCAATAGTGATCGCTGGGAACAATCCCTTTAACGTTTTAGGAGCTCCCAATAGTGATCGCTGGGAACAAGGTTGATCTGGCAGATGAAGGTCGGGAGATCTTTATTGAAGATGTTATCGACTGGGCAGCATATACTATACCTAACAAGAGGTTAGTTTAACACAAGGAGCTAGAGGGACTAGAGGGACCAAAAGGACAAGATGGACCAGAAGGACTAGATGAACTAGAGGAACTAGAGGGACTAGAGGGACTAGAGAGACTAGAGGGACTAGATAAACTAGAGGGACTAGAGGAACTAGAGGGACTATAGGGACTAGAGAGACTAGAGAGACTAGAGGAACTAGAGGGACTAGAGAGACTAGAGGGACTAGATAAACTAGCGGGACTAGAGGAACTAGAGGGACTAGAGGGACTAGAGGGACTAGAGGAACTAGAGGAACTAGAGGGACTAGAGGGACTAGAGGAACTAGAGGGACTAGAGGGACTAGAGGAACTAGAGGGACTAGAGGGACTAGAGAGACTAGAGGGACTAGAGGGACTAGAGGGACTAACAAAATGCTGCTCCTTAATTGCATTTGTCTTGTGTTTCAATTTATAATTACTTTTCTTGTTCATATATTTATCCTTTAATGGATCCTGTAATCCTGCAATATATGCAGATGTCGTCTTTGTTACAGCGAGCGAAAAACATATATTTTATAGCAAAAGTACAAGAAAGCACAGCGGTTTTGGGATAATCTAAATATATAAATAGAATTCTAACAGCCATATGTAAAAGACTTAGGGGCACCAGCAGCATGCCAAAACCTTGATTTAGTCAGAGTAGCGTGTTGAAAAATCCTATTTTAACGAGTTTTCAAGAAATAGCGGGTTTTCGGTCGAAATTCTTATCTAAACATAACATTTAAACATCTTGAAACGTCCCTTAAAAAAGATTCTTAGGTGGCCAAGCCTTATATGACATGAATAAGAGGTTTATGGAATAACCTCATTTTCGCGGACCCTCCCCCCCCCAACTGGAGGGGGGGGGGGGCCTTAAACATTTGATTCACTTTTAAAAAGCCCTTGTGCTCTAATGTTAAAATCTGCAAAAAATTAACAATTTTTAAAAATTTCAAATATATATTAAGCTATAAATGTGCAAAAACAAAAAATGTGAGAAATATGATAAATTATACGCTTTAGAACATCCCTTGAGTCTTGACACGGCAAATTTAAATTTGCAAAAACAATTGCAAAATTTCAAAAACTAAGTTTGCATTAAAGGAAAACTGAAAATGTGCAAAATCTCTTTAAAGCAATCTGTGCAAAAATCTATTCAAATTTTCTTCGCAAAAATTGTACAATCTGCCTCCTTTTGTTCAAGGCATTCCAAAGGGCTGTAAAATGTCGAAATCCAATGACTGAAGTAGGTCTAAATATAGATTTAGTCGGGTTAAGGTAAAATAAGGCATTCTGGCAGTATGCATAGAAGGCCCGTTTTTGAGCTTAAAGTAAGGGGCATGTGTTAGTTAGAAAAGAAAATAAAAATCGAACAGCCTCAGACCAATACTTTTTGAGTTATTTTCACCCCCCCCCCCTGGAAGATGGTTAAATAATGAAAGAAAATGAGTATAAAACACTTCAGCCAGAACATCATCTCTGTTTAATTGTTTATATCTATACCTTGGCATAAGACAAGAAATATACTTAACGAAACAAAACCGAGCTTTTAGGACAACCTCAGAAAAACGATTCAATTCAAATCCTAAATATAGAACAATTAATATTAAACAACCATTGAATTAAGATCGGAAACCAGGGAACGAATTTGATTAATTTGAGTTAGGCCGTTGAACTACCTATACTTTAGTTCTGCAGTGAAGTTATCATCTACATATATATGGAAATGGAAAAATCATGAATCACAGATTCAATATAAATGGTTGAACTGTTTCAAAGACCACATGACACAAATTCCTGAAATCTGGTCCGGTTACATCAATTGTCAAAGCAATCTTGTAGACACTGCAACATTTTTGAATATATTGTTACCTTTATATTTTCTCTTCATTTTCAATTTCTTAAATTAAAATCATCATAAATAGATATTGTATTTTTGAACAAAGGTCTTATCTAGATTAAGCATTGTGAAATAATAAACATTTATAGTTTACACTGGTAAAGTTACATGTGGTGCTTTGCTGAAAAAATTAATAATTTTTTAATTCTGGTTTTTTTTAAAGAGATTTTACTACTAAACAATGAAGGAATTGTTGTCAGGATTTAGAATTGTTCAAGAAAAACGACTGTTTTCCCGTTCCGAGTTTAGATATGTCACTCTGCAAACGGAGGGTATTTAGAAATCACGGGAACGGTCCCTTTAATATATTTTTTACAGGTTGAAGGTTGTTGAATGTTCGGCCAGAGATACTTACAACGTGAACGGAGTCTTTAAGGTAAACCATAGTTTTAAAGGGATTGTTCAAGATACACAATAGTTTAAAGGGATTGTTCAAGATAAACAATAGTTTTAAAGGGACTGTTCAAGATAAACAATAGTTTTAAAGGGACTGTTCAAGGTTATAAAACATCGTTTTAAAGTGACTGTAAAGTTTGCCCTTTCCCCTTATTTCATTTATATTTTATAAAAAAGATTAATCTGAAATGAAATTTTACATTGATAAGAGTTCTAAGTTAAAAAAGTAAAAACTATTTAATGCCAAAATATGTTGTTCCTTGAAGCGAATCAAATAAAGTTCAATGTTCCAAAGATTGGATTTTAAGATTAAATTTTCTTAATTTTTTTTTCATTTTCTTCTCTATCATGCTAGAGCAAATAAGCTTTTTGTATTTTCATGTTGCTTTTTATTTTTTTTTCAAAACATTTCTTTTATTATATTTACCCTATACTCAATTTCTTTAATTCGGTTCAGCCTGTACGGTTCCGTACAGATCTTACTGGGGGTAAAGTTAACATAAAGAGAACAAATAATACAAGTTCATTAAAAGTTCCATTTTGTAACTTTATAAAATAAATAGAAGTTTTCGATCCTTTGTTAAACAAATTTCTATTTAATAATTAATATTTAACTTGAAATTAGACTCAATTCTATATTTCTGTTTGCCTATTGAATTTAGTATCTTCAAAGCATTTGGAGATGGTTTATTAACAATTAAATTTATATAAAATCTTCAATATCATCTCTAGATTGATTACAAAATAGAAATACATAAGGATTCAACCAAAGAGAAAATAAAAACCGTCTTTATTATCTAAAACCAATTTAAGAGCAAAGCAAAAGCGTTTCATAATACGGTCTGCTGAACTGCGTAAAGGTAGTTTAACCACTTCTCGTGTACGCTGATTCAAGTTAAATAGAATTGGTTTACATAGCTCACATAGTTCAAATCCAAAATTTTTTGAAATCATGAGAGGAATAAATACAATGTGAAATACGCCAGGTTTTGTTTAGTTGGTTAATGACGACTTTTGATTCCAGTTTTAAATTTCTACCTTGCTTTCAAACAGCATGAATAGTTGATTCATATAAACAAGGAAACAAAGAGAAGCTGTCAATTAACAGCTTCTCTTTGTTTCCTTGTAAACACTTGCTTACATTTGTTAAAAGTTGTTAGAAATCAAAACGTAAATAGAAAAGTCGTCTTTATTGTATTGATACAAATGCCGACCGCTGAAGTTATAACGTTAATTTTCAAAATTGTTTGATCTTTTCTCGATTTTTAGATATTTAAAAAATTACTTAGCTTATGATTGAATGAAGAAATATTTATTTTTAACCATTACTTTTGATTTTGACCGCTTTAAAGTTTTGAAATTTGTAAAATTCATAAATTTTAACCTTTACAAAGAGACAAATCAAAACGTAAATAGAAAAGTCGTCTTTATTGTATTGATACAAATGCCGACCGCTGAAGTTATAACGTTAATTTTCAAAATTGTTTGATCTTTTGTCGATTTTTAGATATTTAAAAAATTACTTAGCTTATGATTGAATGAAGAAATATTTTTTTTTAACCATTACTTTTGATTTTGACCGCTTTAAAGATCTTTCAAGTTTTGAAATTTGTAAAATTCATAAATTTTAACCTTTACAAAGAGACATTTATATCTTGGGTAAGTTTTAAAGCTTTAACAATTCTTGAAATCAATTTAGAAATCTATGACAATTGTCTTTTTTACATTTTTGGTTAATTATTGTAATTCGTTTTTTTAAATCTGAACGAACGTTCCGTTCTTACCTTTAGAATTGCCAGCTACCTGAAATTTATCTTTTTTAACGGTTGGAGTTAACCGTTAGAGAAACGGTTAGAAAAAGTTGGAACGTGCCCAGCCCTACATAAACCCATGCATAAACCCGACCCCCTACCTTTATTAAACTCACTTTAACCCTATTCCTGCTGGGGGGGGGCAATTTGCCCCCCCCTGTAGTTTGTTTTACTTAACTCAAAAAATATTGGTCTGAGGCTGTTGAAATTTTCTGACTTTTCCTACATACCCAAAGCCCTCCCTTTAGGTCTAAAACCGGGCTTTAATACTAACTGCCTGAGTCCTCAGGCACACTGCCTGAATGACTGCTTTTTCCTGTAACCAAACTAAATCTTTGTTTTGACCCACTTCCACTTGTCAGATTTTGATAAAATTTAGCTTTTTGGAAAGCCTTTGACATAAGGAAACGAATAGCGAAAAAAAAATTGCAAATTTTTTGCAAACAACCTGTCAAAGGAAATTTGCACATTTTTAGTTTTTCTTGATTAAAAATCAGGTTATTTAAAATTTTGCAAAAATTTTTGCATATTTGAAATGGCATGGTCAAGGGCTTTTCAAAAATGTATAATTTGTCATTTTTTGGACAAATTTTTTTTTGCAAACATTTTTACTATAAAACTGGATTTTGCGATAAAAAATTCAATTTTCGCAAATTTGCAAATTTTTTTGCAGATTCTAAAAGTAGAGCACAAGAGCTTTCCAATGATGTATCATTTGTCATATTTGGACATCAAACATGGGATTTAGAGGGGGGGGGTCAAATTGACCCCCCCCAGCATATCCTGGTTTTCAAGTACCCCAGCAGAGATAGGGTTAACAGATAATATTGGGGAACCATGTCTGATATTCAATGGTTTGCATGTCCGGGGACAATAAATTCTGATGTAAATACAAAGTTTTGATGGGGAAGTTGAGTCCAATTAACACCTATATAAAAAATAAACATACAGATGGGGGGGGGGGAGAAAACAGAGCTAAACAACCTCCGGAAAAATGCGAATTACAAAGAAATTAAAGTTTGACGAATAAAGTTTGCTGGGAGAAGTCAACCGGTATGGATGAGATTTGAAAAACAAATTTACATAGCTGAGACGTCTAGAAGTACCCTAAAAAACGTTTGCAAAACTTATTGAACATGCATTGTAAATGTAAAGAGCTGAAAACTTAATTCAAAAGTCGCGTAATCATCACAAGAACTCTCATTGGTCCTAAAAAGCAGGGATATCAAAATGTGAGGATTAAGCGGCAAAATTAAAAGTTTCGACAGTGAATACGGATTAAGCAGAAGGGATTAAAGGTATCCAATACAAAAGTTTTCAGCTGAGGAGACTCCTAAATAAAAAAGTATTTAAAAAAATCTATAGATACAAACTCCAAAGCAGCGTTAGATTTATCCAAAAAATCTTCATATCCTATAGATTCAGAGAAGCGTCCAACCAAATCATTTTATTTTTGAAAATTCAATCTAATTTTATCATACAAATTTTTAGACGTTGGAAACATTATTATTGAACCCCATGGATGGGTTTCTTGTTACTTAAATTAAAAAAACATGACTTGCAGAATGTTTTTTCTACTTTTCTTATAGAGATACAGACTAGAGATCTAATCAATTTTCTTATAGAGATAAAGAGATGAAGAGTATCTAATCAATTTTCTTATAGAGATAAAGACTAGAGATCTAATCAATTTTCTTATAGAGATAAAGACTTCTATTTTAACAGACACAGAAAAAGTGACTAATGAAGAGATATAACAAAAAATGGTTATACTTCCTGTAACATAAAAATCGTTAGTATATGGAGATAAAAACTGAGTTGTTACTTAATTATTTCTAATGATTAGCTTTACAGTAATACTAAAACAGTTTGTACCTAATTTGCAAAAGAATCCAAGAAACCAAAGACGACTTTACAAAGAAAAGAATAAAAAGATTAAAAAGAGTAAAAGATATAATCAAACATAAAGGATGTCAAAAATCAGCGCGAATTAAAAAGATGCTTAAAAATGCCCGTTTTTCATAGAACCTATATCTCTTTCACACTCCATAAAGCTTTTTTTACTTTTTTTAACATTCCAAATAAATCTAAATTAAACTAAAAGTTGTTTGTTCATCGTCGAAAAATACTAACAATCCACCACTAATTTTTATGTAAAATATAGTGTAAACAATAAATATGTAACTTTCCTTATCCTTTCCTTTCCTTTTCCTATTATTCATATTTTTATATTTTTTAGAATTGGGGGGAAATATTCCCACAACCTCTACTTTTAGAGGTTTTTAAATATTTTCTCCTGAAACACATTTTTTTGTATGTTTTTGTTATATTTCATAAATAAATAATTTTTTACTTTTTACTTTTAATGTTCATAATATTAATATGTAAGGATAGTCACTGAATAATTATATAAGTATGGTTGTATTTAATACAAATTTTAGAATCTTGGACTTTTTGTAAAACTTTCATTTTGTTGAAGGCGTTTCTAGAGATCTCGAACATACCCCAGGCCTCTTCTAGTCTTCGCAGAGGAACATCAGCATATGCCAAGCTCAAGTTCACCAATCAGGTAGTCATATTTTTATTTTACAATTTTTATAAAAGATTCAAGCAAGCACAATTATATTAACCCTAAGGGAGGTGAACCCCCCTCTTTTGTTGTTTACTCATATTCCTCTCATTTTTTGGAACAAACAACCTGTAGGACTTTTAAGAATTCAAAAATTGAGCCTCCTGTGTCCCCGCAAAACTTTTTTTGTATGAGTCACGAATTACATTAGGGTTATCATTTACATTTAAAGGTACAAAATTCTTATTATTCAACCCAAGAATGATGGGAAAATTATCTAATTCTTATTATTTAACCCTATAATTATGGGAAAATTATCAAACTCTTATTATTTAACCCTAAAATGATGGAAAAAATTTCCATTTCTGATTATTTAACCCTAGAATGATGGATAAATTATCTAATTATAATGTTCTAACCCTAGAATGATGGAAAATTATCTAATTCTGATTATTTAACCCTAGAATGATGGATAAATTATCTAATTATAATGTTCTAACCCTAGAATGATGGAAAATTATATAATTCTTATTATTTAACCCTAGAATGATGGATAAATTATCTAATTATAATGTTCTAACCCTAGAATGATGGAAAAAGTCTGCATAGCAGAATAAAGAGTTTAAAACTCCCGACAAGGTTTGGAAGTGAGAAACGACGACCTTTACCCACAACAGTTGTAACTCAACCTTCTGAGCGTGTCTCCCCCATCTCCCTGCCCAGCCCTTCCCTGAACTCCCTCCCCTCTTCCCCTATCACCCCCTCCTCCTGTTCCCCTTCATCAAGGATATCCTCTTCTCCAATATTTGACTTCAACATGAGGATCCATTGGAAAAAGGTAATAAAAAATTAACCTACCCGCTTACCTGTGAAATTGTTGTACTCAATCTGAAGTATGGCGCCGAGCTTCGATATTTTTTATGTTGTTATTCCTGCATCTAATTAGTTTCTTCTTTAATATACAAGGGTGTCCCACTAAACATGACAGTTAAAGTACGCCATGGAGATCGTCTTTAGAATAGTTTGCGGCATTCACTCGTCCACCTAATTTTACATCGTATAATTCTTGAATTCAAAATCACAAAATACTTTAGAGGTGTCCAAGACAATAGTTTTGTAGAAAAGAGTTTGTTAAAAAAGTAAAAATTGACGACTTTATAATATTTTATATTACTTTTGCCATGAAGCTTACTTCCTCAGAACATATGACATTAATATTTCTTTTTTTTAAACTGGGGCATTTTATACCTTTTATTTTAGGGAGAGAAACAAGCTCAGGAGCAGAACAGTATTGCTGAGAATACGAGGTAACATTTTAATATATAATAAATTTTAAAATTTTATTTTTGCGTTATTTGTCTTGTGGATGGTTTGCAGAGACAATGTTGAAATTTCAATTTCTCAACGCTTTAATTCAATATCTAAATTTGATTTATAAGAGGCCATTTTGTAATCTTATTTTGAACTTTTTGATGTGTGCCTTACATAAGTCCACAATGAGCCATACATAAGTTCACAATGAGCCATGCAAAAGTACACAATGGTTCATGCAAAAGTACACAGTGAGCCATACAAAAGTACACAATGGGCCATATAAACGCACATAGTGGGCCATGCAAATGTACAAAGTGGGCCATGCAAAACTGCACAATGGACTATGCAAAAGTACACAATATGGGCCATGCAAAAGTACACAGTGAGTCATACAAACGCACACAATGGGCTATGCAAACGCACACAGTGTGCCTTGCAAAACTGCACAATGGGCCATGCAAAAGTACACAATATGGGCCATGCAAAAGTACACAGTGGGCCATGCAAATGCACAAAGTGGGCTAAGCAAAACTGCACAATGGACTATGCAAAAGTACACAATGGACTATGCAAAAGTACACAATATGGGCCATACAAAAGTACACAATGGGCCATTCAAACGCACACAGTGGGCCATGCAAAACTGCACAATGGGCCATGAATAAGTACACAGTGGGCCCAATTTATTCCTTATGTTTGTTGACAGCAGAAGTGTTGAAGAGAGGAAACCTAGGAGCAGATCTCTGGTCCGTAGGAGCAGCAATAAGGTTCGTTTTCGAGAATTTTATCTTGAAGCGACATTTTGTGCATTTCAAGGTTACAGGGACAGGAAACAGGACTCATTGAATGTAAACGGGCAGTAAGGGCTTATTGTCATGAAAGTCATAATTTCAATTTTAATTTATACGAAAATGAAAATGTGTATTTATTTCCTGAATAAACTGGTTTTGATTAAATTAAAAATCTTTAAGGTCAAGTAATGTTTAACCCGAAATATTTTGATTTTCTGTTTCTGGATTTCTTTGTAGCAAACCTTGACTGGAACATAGATTAAGTAGTCAATACTCGAAATAAGACCAAGGAAACAAATCAAACTAGGTATTTTTATATTTACTACAAGATCTCCTTTTACATTGCTTGGTCAAAACGTTCAACATTATTTAATATTTTAGCTAAGTTTATCAAGACTCAATTTATATGTGAATCTCTACAAGATATAAAAAAATAGTTCTTTTAGATTATTTTTACATTTCTTAAACCTTTTGTTATCAAAATAAGAATTCCAAGTTCATAATTAAAACAGTCAAGAAATGATTTGATAATACAGTGCTATATGTAAAACTTTCCCAAAGGCATTTTCCCAAGGGCGACTTCCCCAGTGACAATTTTCCAAGTGGCAAGTTCCTAAATGTGCAATTTCCCAAGCAGCAACTTCCCAAAGGTTAGGCCCTCTGAGGCGCTGTAGGCTGCAATGGGGGCCGAGAGTCGCAGCTAGGATGAGCTAGGGGGTCGAGCACCGCGGCTAGAACATGCTGGGGGCCGAGCGCTGCGGCTAGGACAGACATGGATAGTTGCCACTTGGGAAAAATCTTTTTGGAAAGTGCCTAACATCAAAAATACCGTCTCTTATATTTATTCTCGATATTCTATTTTTATTTGTTCAGATTCGTCGTAAAGTGAACGAGACGAAACCCGAGGATTGCACAGTGTCCTAAACCTAAATACTGTTAAGTTGTCTTCAACAAGTATCAAGCTTAACAGTTGTTTTGTATGTATACAATATATCTATCATCTATATTATACACTCGAGAATTGCTGATTGAAAATCAAACATTTGTAATATTGCATTTTACTCTGTATACATACTCTGTACATTGTACTCTGTACACTTTGCTCTGTACACTGTGCCCTGTACACTGTGCTCTGTACACTTTGCTCTGTACACTTTGCTCTGTACACTGTGCTCTGTACACTGTTTTCTGTACACTTTGCTCTGTACACTGTGCTCTGTACACTGTGCTCTGTACACTTAGCTCTGTACACTGTTTTCTGTACACTTTGCTCTGTACACTGTGCTCTGTACACTGTGCCCTGTACTCTGTGCTTCGTACACTGTGTTCTGTACACTGTGCTCTGTACACTGTGCTCTGTACACTGTGCTCTGCACACTGTGCTCTGTACACTGTGTTCTGTACACTGTGCTCTGTAAACTGTGCTCTGTACACTGTGATCTGTACAATGTGTTCTGTACACTGTGCTCTGTACACTGTGCTCTGTATACTGTGTACACTGTGCTATGTACACTGTGCTCTGTACACTGTACTCTGTACACTGTGCTCTGTACACTGTGCTCTGTACACTGTGCTAGCTGTTCACTTGCTCTGTACACTTTGCTCTGTACGCTGTGCTCTGTACACTGTGCTCTGTACACTGTGTTCTGTACACTGTACTCTGTATACAGTACACTCTTTTTTTTAACTGGAAAGAAGCTTGAAAGAAAACAGTTCTATTTGAATTAAAAAAATATAAATTAACATAATTGTGACATCTCCCCTCTCTTATCTATTTAACGTATGACTGACTGAATTGGAGAAAGTACCAAAGAATGGAATTATATGTGCTCAAATTCTCAGAAAATCAAATTAACACCAGTCTTGGGGCAGCATTGTTCTTAAAACTTTACCACTTGTTAATTTTCCCGTTTATTGGAATCATAGATTAATAACAATACAGATAAAACACTAGATGTCGTCTTTTCAAGATTTAGAGGGTTATCGTTTTCGAAGGAGTTACGCACATGCTGCGGTAAATGACAAGACAGAGAGAGAGCATGAGCGTAAATACTTCATGCTCCTGTGTCTCAGGGTTATTGTGAATGAAAACCCCCTTAAATCTCGAAAAGACAACATCTAGTGATCTATCAGTATTGTTATTAATCTATGATTGCAATACTTTGATTGTATATTAGTATTGAAATTATAATGTTAAATTACTTAATTAAAGCCATTTGTATTTTAATCTGCTTGTATTTAAAAGTTAAAACCAAAATCAAGGTTTATCATGTAACCTTAAACCCCTTGTAAAAGTGTTAAATGTCGTAATTCACATTGTTTATTTAACTTCTGAAGCAAGCAATGATCGTGTCTAATATGTAAAAATTTTAAACCATTTTTTAATTTACTAATTGACAGACATTTAAATTTACATTAATGAGAATATTTTGGTTTCATCGGGTAATTTAACGCTGTCTCAAATCAAAGAAGTTTTTATTAAATCATAATTGGTCAAACACACAAATTAGAAACATATTTATATTTGCATATTAAAAAGTTACATATATTTGTAAGTATGTGATTGAAAATTAATTTTATGAAATCAATTTTTGATTAAAAATCAAGACTTCGTTTTTAAATATGTTAGCTCTGTGTTTAAATATGTCCGATGTCTATATATATTTTATAAAATAACGATTATATGTTATTGTAATCAATATTATAAAGGGACACTCGGCGTTTTTTCAATCCACCTTTTTAAGATTTAAAGGGTTACATGAACGATTCACAACGTTACCCTCTGGTTTTTTGTCGGAGCAAAGATAAGAATTGACAAATTATTGACAAAATAAATTAGTTTTAGTATAGAAAAACGACTATATCTTTCACAAAGCTTTTAAGATAATAGTTTAAATGGGTTTTCGTGAATAATGGTGTCGTTCAGAAAAAAACGGACAATGGTCGAACAACTTGAATTGTTCAGAGAATTTAAAAAAACGGCGTTTTTTTAAAAACGAACGAAAAAAACGAACACGATCGATCGGATTTTTTTACAGAACGAACAAATTTTCTGATAGATTTTTAAAAAACGGTCGGTTTTTTTTACTGAAAGAACGATTTTTTCAATCAAACTTTGTAAAAACATTCATTTTTTTACTGAAAGAACGTTTTTTTTAGGAAAACTCTTTTGAAAAAATGATCGTTTTTTTACAAAACGAACTGTTTTATTAAACGAATGAATTTCCTTAACGATCTTTCTCTAGTAAAGATCGTTCTCTAGTAGAGTACTTCCGTTGTGAACAAATTGGCCGTTTCCTGAAATTAAGCTGACAGTCCCTTTAAAGAGTTTTAATTAAGTTTGAAATATTTAAGATTTTTTTAAATAAGATATTTTCCCGCATCTGGAGAATACATTAATAACACCAAAAGTTGTATAAAAAAAAAGATTTTAAGTTAAATCTGTTTTATACAATTATTCTGGTTAGCAGTTGACAGTTTTCAAATCAACCTTTGCTTTATCTCGAAGATTCACTTACAATCTTAATTTTCAACTTTATGATGAATAGAAACATTTTATAACACGTCATGTAGAAAAGGAGTTTTTAACATGACAAACCTGGAATAAGAATAAAAATCAATCTTAGAATTCCTTTTTTGTTTTCATTAAAATCGTTAAAAAATTTTCTGAAGTATTTTTTATTTAAACCAGAAATTATTGATTTCTTATTAGAATTTATTTGATCAAAAATGATTATTTAACCTTTTTCAAAGCATTTTTATGATCATTATTTTTTATCAAATTTGGCAAACCGTGTTTTTACCATTAAAGTTTATAAATTGATTACATAAATTTTTATATGAATCTTTTATTCTTATTTTATTTATTTATATTCCTATGCTGTTGTCTTGTTGGACCAAATAAACAAATATTTAATTAACTAAAATTAGTAACATTCTTCTTGAAATGATCAATGATAAAAATCAGAAATTAGGAATGAAAAAATAGAAAGAAAAATGGAAAGTACAAGTAGTAGAGGAAGGAGTATGGAAAGTAGTGAAAGGAGAATGGAAAGCAGTGGAAGGAGAATGAAAAGAAGTGGAAGGAAGATGGAAAGTAGTGGAAGAAGGATAGAAAGTAGTTAAGGGGGAGAATGGAAAGTAGTGGAAGGCGAATGTAAAGTAGTGGAAGGAGGATGGAAAGTAGTGGAAGTAGGATGGACAGTAGTGGAAGGAGTACAGAAAGAAGTGGCAGACGGATTGAAAGTAGTGGAAGAAAGATGAAAAGTAGCTCAAGGAATATGAAAAGTAGTGGAAGGAGGATGGAAACTAGCGGAAGCAGGATGGAAAGTACTAGAAGGAAGATGGAAAGTAGTGGAAAAAGGATGGAAAGTAGTTGAAAAAGGATGGAAAGAAGTGGAAGGAAGATGGAAAGTAGTGGAAGTAGGATTAAAAGTAGTGGAAGTAGGATGGAAAGTAGTAGAAGTAGGATGGAAAGTAGTGGAAGGAAGATGGAAAGTAGTGGAAAAGGATGGAAAGTAGTTGAAATAGGATTGAAAGAAGTGGAAGGAAGATGGAAAGTAGTGGAAGTAGGATTAAAAGTAGTGGAAGTAGGATTGAAAGTAGTGGAAGTAGGATGGAAAGTACTGGAAGGAGGATGGAAAGTAGTGGAAAAAGGATGGAAAGTAGTTGAAATAGGCTGGAAAGAAGTGGAAGGAAGATGGAAAGTAGTGGAAGTAGGATGGAAAGAAGTGGAAGGAGGATGGAAAGTAGTGGAGGGAGGATGGAAAGTAATGAAAGGAGGATAGAAAGTAGTGGAGGTAGGATGGAAAGTAGTGGAGGGAGGATGGAAAGTAGTGGAAGTAGGATGAAAGTAGTGAAAGGAAGATGGAAAGTAGTGGAAGGAGGATGGAAAATAGAGGAAGGGAGATGGGAAGTAGTGGAAGGAAGCTGCAATATAATGGAAGAAAGATGGAAAGAAGTGGAAGCAGGATGGAAAGGAGTGGAAGAAGAATGGCAAGTAGTGGAAGGAAGATGGAACGTAGTGGAAGGAGGATGGAAAGTAGTGGAAAAAGGATGGAAAGTAGTGGAAGGAGAATGGACAAAGAAAAGAAAAAAAAGAAAAATTGGAAGAAAGATTGAATAGGATTAGAAGAACTAGAAAGAGGGCAATGAAGGATAGCTGAAGAGAATATGAAGGATAGCTGAAGAGGATATGAAGGATAGGAATAAAAAATGAAGGATAGGAAGAGGGTAATGAAGGATAGGAAAATGATTATGAAGAATAGGAAGAGGGTTATGAAGGATAAGGAAAGGATGAAGGGTAGGAGTAGGAAATTAAGGATAGGAAGAGAATTATGAAGCATAGGAAGAGGAAATGAAGCATATGAATTGGATTATGAAGGATAGGAAGAGGATTATGAAGGATAGGTAAAGGATTATGAAATATAGGAGGAGGATCATGAAGTATAGGAAGAGGATTAAGAGGTATAGGAAGAGGGTTATGAAGGACAGGAAGAGGATTATGAAGCATCGGAAGATAATTATGAAAGATAGGAAGAGGATTACGAAGTATATGAAGAAGATTATAGTATAAATAGAGAATAGTGAAGTAAAGGAAGAGGATTATGAAGTATAGGAAGAGGATTATGAAGCAAAGGAAGAGGATTATGAAGTATAGGAAGAGGATTATGGAGTAAAGGAAGAGGATTAGGAAGTATAGGAAAGAGGATTTTGAAGTATAGAAGGAGGATTATGAAGGTTAGGAGGAGAATTATAAAGGATAGGAAGGAAATAATGAAGGATAGCAAGAGGATTATGGAGTTTAGATAAAAGATTATGAAGGATAGGAAGAGAATTATGAAGCAATAATAAAGAATAATGTTAACACTCTGCTATAAGTGTAAAGAATCGTGTTGTTTATGTTAATATGTCCGGAGGATGTATACAGGGTCTCCTCTGCCTCCGTTTCTAAACCCAGCTGGTTCAATCAGCTGTTTTATCTTTACAGTGTCTTGTGTATACTTTATCTTTACAGTGTCTTGTGTATACTTTTATCTTTACAGTGTCTTGTGTATACTTTTATCTTTACAGTGTCTTGTGTATACTTTTATCCTTACAGTGTCTTGTGTATACATTTATACTTGCAGTGTCTTGTGTATACTTTATCTTTACAGTGTCTTGTGTATACTTTTATCTTTACAGTGTCTTGTGTATACTCTAATCCTTGCAGTGCCTTGTGCATACTTTTATCTTTACAGTGCCTTGTGTATACTTTTATCTTTACAGTGTCTTGTGTATACTCTAATCCTTGCAGTGTTTTGTGTATACTTTTATCTTTACAGTGTCTTGTGTATACTTTAATCCTTGCAGTGCCTTGTGCATACTTTTATCTTTACAGTGCCTTGTGTATACTTTTATCTTTACAGTGTCTTGTGTATACTCTAATCCTTGCAGTGTTTTGTGTATACTTTTATCTTTACAGTGTCTTGTGTATACTTTCATCCTTACATTCTTGTGTATACTTTTATCTTTACATTGTCTTGTGTATACTTTTATCTTACAGTGTCTTGTGTATACTTTAATCCTTGCAGTGCCTTGTGTATACTTTTATCTTTACAGTGTCTTGTGTATACGTTTATCCTTACAGTGTCTTGTGAATACTTTTATCTTTACAGTGTCTTGTGTATACTCTAATCCTTGCAGTGCCTTGTGTATACTTATTATCTTTACAGTGTCTAGCCAAATATCTAACAAAACGTAAATAAGAGAAGATAAAATTCAATTGTAAATCTTTCACGGCTTTTTTATGAATATTTTGGGGTCTTTATAAAAAAAATTATCATGCTTTGTAAACATTTCAGAATTATTCTTAAGTAAAAAGCATAACAAAATTGTTATTTAATCATTTTTTTCAGACGAAAGGAGTCTTTTGTAAAGATCTTTAAAATGAATTGATTAAATAATTTTGGCCTGTAGAGGCCTTTCTGCTAGACTTTAGAACATTTTAATAAACTTAAGAAAGATTTTCTGACGAAGAAAAAACCATTTTTGACATATAAACATATAAACCGACGCTTCATTAAAATTCTGGCAAAAATGGATCGAAATAAAGAATTCTTACCTGCAAGGTGAGGCTTATGTACAGGGTGTCCCAATAAACATGGGAATTCAGTGACATCATAGGACATTTTGCAGTCTTGTACCGTTCACATAAAATATACTCTAGCAGACTATTGAAATTAGTTAACACAATGCTAATTCTTTACAAAGACGATTTCGAATTAGTTAACACAATGCTAATTCTTTACAAAGACGATTTCGAATTAGTTAACACAATGCTAATTCTTTACAAAGACGATTTCGAATTTATCTCTTAAGACCCATGTTTATTGAGACACCCTGTATTGTTTATATCATACAGGGTGTCCCACATCATATAAGATCGTCAATGGGTCTAAATTATGGTTTTCGGGACTGATCAGAAGATTTAAGAAGAATGTATCATTTTAGAAAAATTTAATTATGCTAATAAAAAACATTTCTTGCAGAAAATACTAGGTTTTTCGAGTATTATGAACTTATCTAATATGATATGGGACGCTCTATATATGTATACTGAAGGTCTGATTAACCCAATAATGGCTGAGGGTCTAAATACCACTTTAGAATAGACCTTAATACAGGTCAGGTGCGAAGTTGACCTGCATGTTTAAGGTCAAAATTGTCAAGGAAAGCTCATTATGAATAAAGTTTAATTAAATGTCTTTAAAATTCATAATGTTAATTCATGAAAAGTTTTTAACACTAATCAAGATTTTCTAAAGATTTAGAAAGAAACTGAGTTCTTGCGACGCACTCAAATTTTCCAATCCTTATATCTTTGCAACCTGATTGAGTAAACCTTTGATATTTCCTACTTAAGATATTGATAAAAATGATAAAAATCAGGTTGCAAAGATAAAGAAATTAATAAATCATAGATCGTTGTTATAACTTAGTTCTATTACAAGTATATTTTGTTCAGGACTGAATACCAGCAATTCTTCGTAGAAAAGAAATTGTGCAAGGTGATAATTTCAAAATTAATTATTTTCATATTTAGCTTTAGAATTAATTTAATCATTTTGAATAAAGATTTTTCATGTTTGAATTTTACTTTGATAAAATTTTGATGAACATGAAATTAGTTTTTAAACTTAAATGTAAAAACATCAAAAGATCCCATATCAGTGAATATTTCGTTACATTTTGGGGAAAGTTTTTTGTACCAAGGAATATAAAACACTAGGACAAGGATACATATATCTCATTCTGTAAGAGTTTTTTTTCTTGAAAATAGTTAAAATAATTTCTTAGAAGTAATTACTCTTCTTGAGAAAAGAAAAGCTGCTTTTATTTCTTTTCATTACTTACATTACTTACATGTATTCTTCTTGCTTCTTCTTCAGTTTATTAGCTATACATGGGATATAGGGTCTATACAATGTATTCTTCTTGTTTCTTCTTCAGTTTATCAGCAATACATGGGATATAGATTCTATACATGTATTCTTTTTGTTTCTTCTTCAGTTTATCAGCAATACATGGGATATAGGGTCTATACATGTATTCTTCTTGTTTCTTCTTCAGTTTATCAGCTATACACGTAGTTTTTGATTCTCAACGGTCCTTACCAGCGTTTTCTGATTCAGCATGATTATATTAACTTTGTAACTTTGAAAAGACATTTCAAAAACTATTTTAAAAATTTTATTATATTTTTATTTCTTTAAACAAGTTATTTTGCGTAATTTGTAATTAACTTAACTTGTTTAGCTTTGAACTACTACAAAATAATTTAAGGGTTTACATATTGAAATACGATAAATTAAAATAATAAATTATCATGGGAAAGAAGGGTTCAGTTTTTTCTTTGCTGTGTTCTAAAGAAATAAATTTATCTCAAGTTAGGCAAATTCGTTAGTTGGGTAGGAAAAAGAGGAAGTGAAGATAATTAGTTATAGCATCCGGAAGCATACATGTTTATTTCCGGTCGGTGGAATAATTATATCAATTCATTTTATTTTGGGTTCAAACTTTGGTATCATCTGTTTTGACGTTTATTGGATCAAAACCAACAAACAATTCAAATACATATAAAACCTTGTCATAGTTATTCCCACAGTTTACCCGCTCCTTGTCGTAAATTATGATTTCAGCTGTTTTTCCTGTTAATTAATATTTTAGCTATTTCCCCCGTTATTATTGGACCCACTCAACTTAGAATCTTATAACCAAATTAAGAACATTCACTTGGGTCTCCCAAATTCCTTAATTAAAATTTAAGACAAATCGGTCCAGGGGTTCCTGAGTTATGATCGGACAAACAAATAAACAGACAAAGATCGAGAGAGTACAACTTTATATATATATATATAGAAGCCTCTCATTTACAGCGCTATGCTAAATCAACCATAATAATATTAATTGATTTAAAACTGCAAATTTCGCTTTGACCTCAGAAATAATTTGCGGCATTACTGATAGGCAATCTACTTTTAGGGATATTTTTTTCTTCACAAATTAGCCCTTGTCCTTCCATTTTCGAAATTTGGTCTGCCATCTTTTACTTTCATAATTACCATAGATATATATAATTAGACATGCTCTTGGTTGTATTTAAACATTGAAAGGAATTGAGTCTTTGCAACAAACTAAGATTTTTTAATTCGTATATCTTTGCAAACCTATGTCGTAAACCTTAGATATTTCAAAGTATGATTTCTGATATATCAAGTAATCTAAGTTTGAAATATCACAGGCTTACAACATCAGGTTGCAAAGATATAGGGATTGGAAAATTTAAGTTTGTGACATAGACTCAATTCCTTTTTTAATATCTCTTTTTAATATCAAGTTTTAATATCTCTGGTAATTTCGAAAACACTAAAATGGCAAAACACATTCATGATACTGACAGGACTATGGCTGATTTGTGATTATTGTTTCAGGAAAACATATTGCTAAAATAAGGTTGCCAATAATGATTGCTGCAAAATTTGTCTGAGATTTTAGACGACTTTCAAGTTTTCAGTCATTATCAATGTGCCTTGTGTGTATATAAATTTTTTGCCTTATCTGCAAACTTAAAAAAAAGGGGAATGTCCACATTTCCATACAAACTGGGTTCTGATTTCGTTTTTAGAGATTTCTCTCTGATTTTTTGCATGCAGGCCTGAATTGTGATCTAGTTTTTGAATCAAACACCAAAGTGGGGAAAAAATAATTTTCCCCCTTATTTTTCCCGCATTTTTCGGGCATTTTTTAAAAAACTTTGTGAAAGTTCCATGTGGGGTGTCTAAAGTCATTAATATTAGGTCAGGAAACTCAATTCTGGATTTTATAATGCATTTCCCACTCTCTTTATTTGCATGCAGACCTGATTTGTGATCTAGTTTTGAATCAAAAACCAAAGTGGGGGAAAAATAATCTTTCCCCTGATTTTTCCTGCATTTTCCGGTCATTTTTTTCAAAAACTTTTCGTTAGGTCCATGTGGGGTTTAGAAAAGCCTAGTTTTTACATAATTTCAAACTTAATTTTTCATTCTAGATACTCTGTGTAGAGATCTTGCAAGGAATTACAATCACTCGAGGAAAAATTAAAGATTGGTGTAAGTACATTCTTCTTTTAAGGGATTCACTGGCAATGAGGTTTTAGAGGTTTAAAATATGTCTTTACTAGAGATTGGAATTTATGAATAAGAAAGAGAAAGTTGAACTAGGTACGACTGGTTCAACACATTGAAAATAACCTTCTTAGTTCGTTAATTCCGTCCAAAACCTTCTTTCATTGAAAATTTTGGTTGGATTAGAATTAAAAATTCAGGGTAAGAAAGTTCCAAACAGTGATTTTGACCCAAACCTGACAGTGAGTGTCAGGTTTGGGTCAACTGTGCAAAGTTGTCTTTTTTAATTGTTTATATTTATTAATTAAGAGGAAAAGTAAAACACCGTCTGAATACTTTATTTTAGAATTGTAAATGCTACATTTTTATAACAACAATTTTAATACAAATAAATAAGTTTTAATTTTTGTTGAAGATTGATCTCATTTTAGAACATGTCACATTTTTTAAGCAAATGTAAGGTTTAGGTGCAAAATATGTCTTGGAACAGTCGCGATTTAGAGACAATTCACTGATTTGAATCTCTGATACTTTTCAACCATTTAAAAAATTTGGTAAAATTTAGATTATGACATAGTAAAAACGATATTTTTAAATAAAACGCATCGTAAATTGAAAATAGCTGTTTTTATATTATATTGTTCTTCCATTAAATTAAACAGAAAAATGCGGGAAATTTTTTTATAGAAAATGGAGGAAACTTTAAATTATCTATTCTTTAAATAATGAAAGTGTGTTTTGCTCTGAATTGTTGAATATTTTCAAATTATGGATTGTTTCGTAAGTTGATTTATGTTCCAAACTGGGTCGAAGATTTGAATCGTGATATGTGCGAAAATGGAAAACCTTGAATTGTAATAAAAAAATTGTAAGTTCTTTTTTTGAAAATGAACCATCACTTACAGTTTAATTTTTAGGAAATAAATAAATTATGTGTTTTGTAGTTCTCGCTGTGCTTAATAAAATGTTGGAAATAGAAACTATAATTGATATTTGATCTAAAGAAATATTTACTAAACGTTGATCACAATATTTGTGCCCAAACCACTCTATCCCTGTAGTAAATTTGAATTCGAACAGGACCTGCCCAGTTTGTACTGGCCTGCCAGATAACAGCGTGTACTGACCGGATCCTATGGTAAAGTACGTCGCCCTAACCAGACTAAAATACGACAGGGGTCAATTTTCTTGGCATAGTCCCATGCGATGGCTAACTATGACAACTCCCATGGCGCGTTCAGACTTTTTACAGTACCCGGCCTAATCCTAGGCCTATTTGACCGACCCCACTGGTTAAGTCCACCGTGAAACCTGACACTCAGTGTCAGTTTTGGAACATAAGCACGGTTTGGAACTTTCTTACCCTGAAATTGCACCATTTAAATAATTGTTGATAAATGTATATATATATATATATATGCGTTTCGACCTTTACTTAAAAACAGAAAATTACTTTTTATTTTTTTTAGTTTTGAACTAGATTTACATCATCAAATAAAAGAAATCCGTAGAAATGACACTTCATTATAAAAGAATTTAAGCTATACACAAAAAAGATGAATAAACCATTTAATCCTACATTCTCTCTGCAAACCAAAGAATATTTCTCCTTTCATTTGATGTATTTTTAGCTTTCACTGATTCTCTAAAATATTACACTCTAAATTACAAAATTTAAAATATCGCTTATTTGACAGTATAAAACTTAGATGGCCCCCAGAAAAGCGTCCACAAATCGCTTGTATAAAAATAAACAGCGCTTTTATGGCAGTCATTTGCGATTTTTTGTTAAATTTAAGCGAAATAAGCGATTTTTTTTTACGGCCAAATTAGTGATTTTTTTGTTTCGTAATTTAGGAGTATTAAGAATTGTGAAAAATGTTACAAGAACGTTTATCTATATAATAAAGCTCTTTGCTGATTATATAGCCGGCAGAACGCTGGACCAAATCGATTTTTTTTTCAAAATTTGAAATTTTTTATTCAAGTGTTTTTTTTATTTCACAGATAATACCGTGTGGGCTTTTCAGCTAGTTTGTTAAAATTGACATAAATGTTGCAAAGTATTTGTGTCTCTCAATTATTCTGATTTTTTATCCAAATTTGTGCTCCTTCTTTTTTCCATATGAATTAGACTTCTAAATTTACTTTCCAAATATGCCGCGCGTTATATCTTAAAACTGCGCAATAGAAAGACAACCAATAGACGCAAGTTATGACTCTTTAAATATTTGGTAAAACTATTTGCTTTACAAGGACATCAAATACATACAAGATTGCTGAAATATAAACTAAACGTTAAGTCACTGCAATATTTCGTAAATATTTGTAAACCATCTTTTCTAGGAACCTTTATATAAAAATTCGAGATTTGTATAGATTTAAAATTCTTCCTTTAACTTATCGTCATTAAAATGAAGAAAAGTATTACATAAAAGTATTTGAAATAAAAATACCAGAAAAAAGTCCATGTTCATTGTTCAATCAAACCCCTTTCGTTGTCTCTGTTTTTTTCATTAGCTTTTCCGGATACCGTTAAATAATACATAATAGTGCTATTTTAGTCACAGGAACAATAAAAACAAAAAATAAACATGCTTCATTAAAAATAAAAATTTCATGGAAAAAAGACACATAAAAGAAAATCCCGAAATTATATTAGTGTGAAGTACTTCAAAAACACTGAAAAACAAAGAATGAAAAATATTTTTATAAATGTTATTTTGTGAAAAAGTGCTTTTAACTTTTCTCATGTTTTTGTTTGAATAAATCAGGACTTTCTTTTAAACCCTTTTTATGGAGTGTTTAATTGAAGGGAGTGTTCGCAAAAAATGAAAGGGTGTATAGGCTTAATGCGATAAAAAAGCGCTTTTGATCGCTACTAATCTTACTTCTATCTGTTGCGTCCATAAGGAGAAAATTGTCAAAAACGACTAATACCGAAGAACGTAGTGTCCATACAAATTCAGAAAGATGCAACATTCAACTCGGATCGTAAACAAATCAATTTAATTTCAAGCAAATCATTCAGATATTACAAACAATAGTCATCGATTATTTTTCGACGCATTCGTAAATAGTTTATATTTCATAATATTTTGTATTTTTCTTGATCTGAGAGTTACTTTTGAAAACATATATTCCTGTTTCGAGGATTTTTGATAATAAAGACGACATTTTCATATTTTCCAGGAATGTTCGAAAATCCAGCGCTAGCGAAAATTATTTAAAAAACAAAATCAAAAATATTATGAAATATTAAATATATATTAAGTCGATAAATAATCGATGACTATATGTTTGTAATATCTGAATGATTTGTTTGAAATTAAATTGATTTGTTTACGATCCGAGTTGAACGTTGCATCTTTCCGAGTTTGTATGGATGCTGGGTTCTTCGGTGTGAGTCGTTTTTAAAAATTTTCACCTTATAGACGCAACAGATAGAAGTAAGATTAGTAGCGATCAAAAGCGCGTATTTTTCGCCATGAGCCTATACCCCTTTCATTTTTCGCGAACACTCCCTTTAAATAGAAAAGTTTAAAGGACAGTACACGCTAAAAGCCTACTATGATGTTTGTTTACAGTGTACAAACCAGATCCTTATGTACGTGTACGTGTGGTGGGTACACCTAACCCTGTACAAGAAACTGCACATGTACCTAACACCACAACACCAAGGTAATATATTATTCATAGTTTTTATCCTAAAATTGTTAATGATTATTTCTCCTTTTAGATGGGACGAATCCTTTCAGTTTGCCATCGATCCAGAAAGAGACAGATTTATAGGTAAACAAGCTTGATTGATTATTCGATTGATCGATTAGTTGTTTGATTAATTGATTGATTGATAGATTAGTTGTTTGATTAATTGATTGATTGATCGATTAGTTGTTTAATTGATTAATTGATTGATTGATCGATTAGTTGTTAGATTGATTGATTGATTGATCGATTAGTTGTTTGATTGATAAGTTGTTTGATTTATTAATTGATTGATTGATCGATTAGCTGTTAGATTGATTGATTGATCGATTAGTTGTTTGATTGATTAATTGGTTGATTTATCGATTAGTTGTTAGATTGATTGATTGATTGATTGATTGATCGAATAGTTGTTAGATTGATTGATTGATTGGCTCCCCTATTGATTTTTAAAAGGGAAAAGACAGATTCTAGTTTGTTTGTCCGATCATAACTCAGGAACTCAAGGACAGATTTGCCTCAAGTTTTGATCTGGGAACTCGGGAGAACCACGGGAATGTTCTTAGTTTGGGTTTGAGATTCTGAAATGAGTGGATTCACATTTATAGTGAAAGTTTAGTTTCCCGGTTAATTGACCAAGTGCGGGTAAACGGCGCGCGGGATTAACTATGAGTAACCTGGGCAGCGCCGGGTTCCTTAGCTAATATAGATATAGATGGTATGTCTAAGGAGAATTTGAGCAATTTCTTTTCACAAAAACTACCCCTTCTTCAACACTAAGTCTACCCCNGACTAAACAGGATCGAATTTTTTTCAGAGTTTGTCTTGATCGATAAGAATCTTGCAGTGAACGAGGAAATTGGAAGAGAAATTATAGATTTTGAAAATACACGAAAGCATCCTCATAACACCATAATTACTTTTAGAAACGTAAGTAAATCTTATATCAAATTAATTATAATTGATTTTCCTGAGGTAACTGATAGTTAACCAAATAATGATTTCAGAATAACTGCAAAATTAGATTTGTTATGACGTAAATCGTTCTAACAATTTGTGTAAAATATTTTTTATATTTTTAATAATTCATTTTAAACGCTTTGTTTTTTAGGGATCTAAAATAGAAGTGAAGTTGGGATTGATAGATAAGTAAGTAAATATATAAAATAAAATCAGATAATTGACTGGAAAGCTTTTCAAAATGAAGTCATTAAAATGTGAGCTATTGGTTTCCATTTTTGAGTTGACATTTGGTCAGCATTTAAAACATTCTTAACACTAAAAAGTTTGACAAATGGTTAAAAGTTAAGTTCAATTAAGATACCCAAATATCATAAAATACCTTGGCATTTAAAAAAATCCAGAACCCCAATATCACTCACCTTAAAGCCTGAAAATGAAATTAGTTTTGGCAAAATGTTTTTGAAACTTCTTGTCAATTTGATCTCGGTTTAGTCCTGGAACTGAGGTTCGATTTATCTCTGTTTAGCCCTGAAACTGAAGTTTGATTTTTCTCTGTTTAGTCCAGAAAATGAGGTTTGATTTTTCTCTGTCTAGTCCTGAAACTGAGGTTTGATTATTCTCTAGGTTTAGTCCTGAAACTGATATGAGGTTTTATTTATCTCTGTTTAGTCCTGAAACAGATATGAGGTTTGATATATCTCTGTTTAGTCCTGATACTGAGGCTTGATTTATCTCTGTTTAGTCCTGAAACTGATATGAGGTTTGATTTATCTCTGTTTAGTCCTAAAACTGAGGTTTGATTTATCTCTGTCTAGTCCTGAAACTGATATGAGGTTTGATTTATCTCTGTTTAGTCCTGAAACTGATATGAGGTTTGATATATCTCTGTTTAGTCCTGAAACTGATATGAGGTTTGATATATCTCTGTTTAGTGCTGGAACTGATATGAGGTTTTATTTATCTCTGTCTAGTCCTGAAACTGTTATGAGGTTTGATTTATCTCTGTTTAGTGATATGAGGTTTTATTTATCTCTGTCTAGTCCTGAAACTGTTATGAGGTTTGATTTATCTCTGTTTAGTCCTGAAACTGATATTAGGTTTGATTTATCTCTGTTTAGTCCTGAAACTGATATGAGGTTTGATATATCTCTGTTTAGTCCTGAAACTGATATGAGATTTGATTTATCTCTGTGTGCAAAAGAACTTGAATTCCTGGAGAAACGAGATGTTGTTGTTCAAAATGGAATCAGGTAAAAGATTAATGATTTTTCGAAACTCAACTTTTGTTGCACTCTTTAACAAGCTTTTTTTCCCTGGTACCATTTTTCAGATTAATAACACAGAGTATATTGTCATTTTTCTGTTTTGAAAAAACATGAATTCTCAATGAACCCCATTTGAAAAAAATCAACTTTTGATAGAAAATCAGGATAACATAATCTTTTTGATAATGTCACGTTATTGTGAATTAGTCAATTATGTATTGAACTAAAGGTTACTATTGATTACGTCAGCTGACCATGATTTGACGCAACTATATTTTTTTATAATTCTGCAAGATAGTGCTCAGTAGTTTTGTTCCTCCGATATTTCTAATTTATATCTATTTCTAATGTAAGTTTAGCCTTTGGATCATTTCAGAAAAAAATAAAAATACTTCAAAGATTTCAAAACTGTATTATGCTAAAGTTCGCATTCATTGAACTAATATGAAAAGTAGAAAAGCATCCGAAAACTATCGTTACGACACATTTGTTTTTGTATCGTTTCTGTGTTGTTTTTGGATCGTTTTTGGATCGTTTTTGGATTGTTTTTTGATCGTTTTTTGATCGTTTTTTCGGTGGCTTTTTGCATATAATTGCTGTCAAGGTCAAAATTTAACATAACGTAAGAAAATTTTTTTTAGAATTTACAATTTAAAATTTTTTTTGTTACACTAAGCAAAATTTTGACTCCGAGAAAATAGAAAGAAAAAACGACTCAAAAACCCTACAGGCACATCACAAATTGTATTTACCCTGGGCCTGGGGTTAATAATATATAATACAATTAGTAATACAAAGTTGATTTTAAGAAAATATCTGTTTTAAACCTGTTAGTCTGCAACTTGATATTATGAGTTAAAGCCTAGAGAAACTCAAGTAATATAAATGAATTATCAACTAGCAACCAAATCTAATTATCTTTATCAAAGCGTCAAAGCCTTTAAAGCATCAAAAGCTAACTTTACTTATTCGCAGATCATTCCTGAAAAGAGAAATTGAACCTAACAGAAAAGAGGATAAAAGGGGAGGGGAAGAGAAGGTAGACTGGGAAGAGAAGGTAGACTGGGAAGAAAAGGTAGACGGGGAAGAGAAGGTAGACTGGGAAAAGAAGTTAGACTGGGAAGAGAACGGGGAGATGAAAGAGAGGAAGGAAAAAGAAAGGGGAGAAGAAGAAGAATGTCCAGAAGAAGCTAAGACAAAGGGCTCAGCAAATAAACCAGGTAATGCCAGTTTAAATTGGTATATATTAGGAATTAGTAAACCAAACTGGTTTTCTTAAAAGAAGAATCAATCACAAATTTCGCAGAATAATTTAAATTTCTAACAAACGCCTGATCTACATTTATAATTATTTAAGACGTTTCCAAAAAGAATTTTTCCAAGGATATATTTCCAAGTGGTAACATCCCAAATGTTCAGTTTCTCAAGTCTAACCTAACCGCAGCACTCGGCCCATTATCGCAGCCTGTACTGCCTCAAAAGGCCTATCCAAACCTTTGGTAAATTGCACATTTGGACAATTGCCTTTGGGAAATTGCCTTTGGGAAGTTGCCTTTGGGAAAATATTTAACACACGTTTTATACCTTCCAAACAAGTTTCCAAACCTCTCTTTTTCCACTGACAAATGTTTCAGATGCTATCTCCTTTAAAGATCTTGATGCTGTGAATACAAATGATAAAACAGATAAATCACTTACAAATTCATCTTCTCTACAGTCATCCAACCAACTAAATCCGTCCAAGAGAGATCAAGTTCTTAAATCAAAACTAGATCATGACAACGAGATCTTGGAAGAAAACAAATCAATTGACGACGATCTGAAGATTAAATTAAATGATGAAGTAAAGAATAATGAAGGAGGGAAGATTGAAAATGAAAGGATTAATTATGATGAAGGAAAAAGTGATGATGAAGGGAAGACTGCTGATGATCTGAAGAGGATAATGAATAATGAAGGGAAGACTGCTGATGATCTAAAGAGGATAATGAATAATGAAGGGAAGACTGCTGATGATCTGAAGAGGATAATGAATGATGAAGGGAAAAATGATGATCATCTGAAGATGATATTGAATGATGAAGGGAAGCATGATGATGATCTGAAGATGAATTTGAATAATGAAGGGAAGAATGATGATGATCTGAAGATGATAATGAATAATAAAGGGAAGCATGACGATGATCTGAAGATGAATTTGAATGATAAAGGAAATAATGACGATGATCAGAATATGATTTTGAATGCTGAAGGGAAGAATGATCATGATCTGAAGAGGACAACGAGTGATGAAGTTAAGAATAATGATGTTCTGAAGATGATAATGAATGATGAAGGGAAGACTGCTGATGATCTGAAGATGACTTTGAATGATAAAGGAAAGAATGATTATGTTGTGAAGATGATAATGAATGATGAAGAGAAGAATGATTTTTTGAAGATTATAATGAATGATAAAGTAAATAATGATGATGAAGAACTGATATTTGTTCCTCCATTGTCAACTCCGGAGGCATCTTTAAGGTAAGTGAGAAAATAAATTGCTCCTTTGAATGTCAAATTTCTTATCCTGAATCAGGTGGTTAGACGGGCAGACCTGAAACAGAAACGTAATACGCTCATAACTTTGGGATTTTCAAACTGTGTACTGTTCTCCCCTATACAGACTTTTAATGATGATGATTCGTTTAAAAGGTCAAATTTTAAACTTTTCTGAAGAGTTAAACCCAGACAGGACTGATCTGACCTGGGGAAATTTAATGAATAGCAAGTAGCTGAACCGCGAAGGTGTAGTTCAACTTCTTCTCAAGTAAACCTATTTAAACTGAGGAAAAGTAGTTGAACTATGTATAAGCGTTTAAAACACAGTTTGCTATTCATTGAATCTGGTCCCTTTCTAAAGCTCAGAAAAATTAATGGAATAAAAACATAATTTAAAGATTGATTATTAAAAATCAAAGTAACACATACTTGTATATTGATATATGATTCCCTTATGTTTTAGAAGCAAATATTTGTTCATTGATTATCTAAATTCTTCTTGGTTCTTTGTTTCCAAATCTGTTGTCAAATTCACAAATTTCACTGTACAGCAGTAAGCAATTTCGCAGATTTTCTTGTTTTTATTTTCACCAACACAGTTACGACGTCTTGAATAGTATAGAAAATGAAAACCAACCAAATCCAATTGGCTTAACTGTTTATTGGGAAAAAACCAGTCTACAGAGTACATAGTACAGAGTACAGAGTACAGAGTACAAAGTACAGATAACAGAGTACAGAGTACAGAGTACAGAGTAAAGAGAACAGAGTACAGAGTACAGAGTACAGAGTGCAGAGTACAGAGTACAGAGTACAGAGTTCAGAGTACAGAGTACAGAGAACAGAGTACAGAGTACAGAGTACAGAGTACAGAGTACAGAGTACAGAGTACAGAGTACAGAGTACAGAGTACAGAGTACAGAGTACAGAGTACAGAGTACAGAGAACAAAGTACAGAGTACAGAGTATAGAGTACAAATATATTTTTATATATAAACGAATAAGTTGACAAGTGACTTGTGCAAAACAATACAATAAAGAAATGTTGGCATCAAAGGATCCAAAAATGATATTTATTAAAACTGTCTGTCAAAGCTTTAGAAGAAAAAGAAAAGCTGAATGGACTCTTAACGTACAATATGAAGTCAAAGTCCAGTAGAGTATTAACTCCAATCTTAACATATTTTGCTGATTTACTGAAACGATTTGCGATTTCGCATTTTATGTTGCCAATTTAGATCTTTACATAAACCTTTCTTCAAGAGAGATTTGGTTTTTAAAGATGAAATATATATATATATATTCAAATACTGGATATGTTCATATATATTAAAAAACGTACAGAGTCACCCATATAGCATGAGACTGTGTAAGGACGACTTGAATTTGTTTAAATATGACTATCCCAAGATTAAATTACGTTCTCTGTTCTCAATGTTGTCTTAAAATGTTTTATGCGAAGAAATAAAGAAGTTTATAGCTGCAGGGAATCTACAGTATGAATTCCGTGCAGTCGTCTTTGAAGTCTCATCCTTTGTGGGTTCTCCTGTAGTGTATTTGTCCTCAATGAACCCCTGTTTCAGTACTTCCCCGACTTCACAGTACACTTCTCTACAAAACACACCAACAACACAAGAAAGGTTAATATTAAGGATTTTCCAAAAACATAAGAAATTGAGTGACGAGATGTTTTTGTTAAGAATTTGTGGAATTGTGATCCATAATTTAAAGCTTTAATCTAAAGTTACGCCCGTGAGCGATTTATTTTATATTTAAACGTTATAAAAGACTGTTTTTTTAATTAAATTTTTTTTGTCCATACACCATAATATGATTTTTTAAATATGTCAAAATTTCAGTTTTTGCTTTGAAAGACAATCCTCGCTTGATAGTCCTGAACCTTTCGAAACATCGTGTCCAGGTAAAATATTTCGAAACATCGTGTCCAGGTAAAATATTTCGAAACATCGTGTACAGGTAAAATATTTCGATACATCGTGTCCAGGTAAAATATTTCGATACATCGTGTCCAGGTAAAATATTTCGATACATCGTGTCCAGGTAAAATATTTCGAAACATCGTGTCCAGGTAAAATATTTCGAAACATCGTGTCCAGGTAAAATATTTCGATACATTGTGTACAGGTAAAATATTTCGAAACATCGTGTACAGGTAAAATATTTCGAAACATCGTGTCCAGGTAAAATATTTCGATACATCGTGTACAGGTAAAATATTTCGAAACATCGTGTACAGGTAAAATATTTTGATACATCGTGTACAGGTAAAATATTTCGATACATCGTGTACAGGTAAAATATTTGGCATTTGGCGCAACTACGGGAGTGGAGAGGGGGGGAGGGTTAATATCTCTTTCTTCCCACGCAGGAGTCCCATATTTCCTCAATAAACACTTAGCACGTGCATGATGATGTAAAGCACAGATTTTGTACTCTGCATCGAACTTTACTATCTTGACGTTTCAATTAGTCTATTTTTGTCTAATATATATTGGGGATAGTAGGTGTTTTCCACCCGCTATTTTTGTTATATATAGATTGGGGCTGGGAAGAATAATCAAGTTTATCTTTTTTGTCATTTCACTATTTTTGTTTTCTAAAGATCAAAGCTTTGAGGGAAAAAAGTTTTTGTTAAAAAGAAAATTGAATTTACATACATACACAAATAAACATCTGCAAATGGTAAATATCCAAATATTTTTTTTCTCCAGATTCCAGACCTAATCAAGAAAGTATTATTCAGCCTAACGAAGAAACATTGAAAAACTCAGAAATATATGGAAAGCTAGCAGAGAACTGTGCAAAAAATAATTCCAAATTCAATTGTGAGGCCAAAGGAAGTTTTGGTGTTAAAATACAGTTATTAAGAAGAAAAGAGTTCGAAATTGTCGGTTCTATTGAATCATCAACTTGTAAAGATGAAATTACATCCAGTAGCTCAATACATGTACAATACCGAAGAGAAAAACTTGTTTTTAATAAAAACTTTATAAAAACTACGGATAAAATAACATACCCAGAGGAGTTAAAAGAAGAAGCACTAGTTACAATAGGAACAATGATATATATTGTGGAGAAAATAAACCAGCTGAACGAGCGGTTTAGATCTAGTCGAGACTCTACGACGTAACGTAATACAGAAAAAGAAATGCGACTTTTTTCTTTCTTTTATTAAAAATTGATTCTGAATCATTATCTTTAGGTATATAATTTTCCCTAAACCGCTGAGTTTCACGTTCTTACATATAATGGTTTTGTTATGCAAATGTGTATCTTCAGCGGTTAAAGACCAATAATAATTTAAAAAACGTGTAATTTTTACGATTGCAGGTTAAAAAAGTTAAAAAGAAAAGCTGCGACCGATGGCAAAAGAGTTTTTGTTTAATTGTTTAATTCCCACAGTTAAAGCTAAAATAGTATTATAAAATATTTTAGTTTATATTGGTTATAAGACATAAAATTCATTTTAAAATATCATTATTCATTTCTAATTCTAAATTGCAAAGCTATCTCTCAACTCTCAAAGAATATATCATTGCGATAGGAAACAACCTACCTTTGAAAATACCAATGAAAGTTTCCCCCAGCTACGAGGACGATTGTAAAGTCCAGTTCAAAGAGACACTAGCGTTAAATCAAAGAATGAATTCGGATCTAACCTTAACTCAAGATATTCACAAGATAACCCAAGAAAACAATCAACATTTGCCTCCGAGGAAATTCCTCAAAATCTCCTCCGAAAACGATCCAAAATGTCGGATGGAAAAAACGATGCCACGAATTGCCTTGATGACTTCAGGAGGTGGATTCAGAGCGATGATAGCGCACAGTGGTGCATATAAGGTATAAACTAAACTAGAACACAGTGGTGCATATTAGGTATACACTAAACTAGAACACAGTGGTGCATATAATGTATCAACTAGATTACAGTGGTGCATGAAAGGGATACAAAAGCAATCAGTGGTGCATTTCAGGTATAAATTAGCGCACAGAGGTGCATATAATGTATAGAATAACAAACATTGGTGCAATTAATGTATAAACTAGCGTACAGTAATGCATATAAGGTATAAAATAACAAACAGTGGTGCATTTATGGTATACACTAGCGCACGGTAATGCACATAAGGTATACAATAACAAACAGTTGTGCAATTATGGTATAAACTAGCGCACAGTGGTGCATATAAGGTATAAAATAACAAACAGTGGTGCATTTAAGGTATAAACTTGAGCACAGTGGTGCATTTAAGGTATTAAATAACAAACAGTAGTGCAATTATGGTATAAACTAGCGCACAATGGTGCATATAAGGTATACAATAACAAACAGTGTTGCATTTAAGGTATAAACTAGAGCACAGTGGTGCATATAAGGTATTAAATAACAAACAGTGGTGTATTTATGGTATTGCGACAAGTCGATCCAGTCTTGAAAACTGATGAGTCTTGAAAACGGATGAAATTTTCCTGTAGCAGTCTGGATCTATTTTCCTGTAGCAGTCTGGATCTATTTTCCTGAAGCAGTCTGGATCTATTTTCCTGTAGCAGTCTGGATCTATTTTCCTGTAGTAGTCTGGATCTATTTTCCTGTAGCAGTCTGGATCTATGTGCCCTTTTTCACAGTTTTATTGGTTACACTTCTGCTAGTAATAGTATAGGGTACAAAACAGAATGATCCATCTACACGGGCAGACGTAGTACATTTGAATTTCCGAGCCGGGTCAACCTTTCCGGTCCTATTTTGTACTGTACTTAGCTCTATGGACAGGACTAGCCGGTGCAACAAGGTTGACGTGGTCAGACTTTATGCTTCAGGTTGAATTTAATTTTACTAAAGGGGCAGATTTGCGTGTCTAAGGTGCAAATTTCCGCCAAAGTTTAAATTGTTTAATTAAGGTTGTTAGTTTAATATTCTTAAACAAACAGTGCAGAATCTCATAAAATAATCAATTATTTTGGAAGATTTTGCATTTCATACTGTGAAAACAAGAAAATTGTTGTATTAATATGGTCATTTTTCTTTCTTTCGTGAAGGTTTTCGTAATTTGGATTCTATAATTTTGATTCTATAGTTTTGATTCTATAATTTTGATTCTTTAATTTTGATTCTATAATTTTGATTCTATAATTTTGATTCTATAATTTTGATTCTATAATTTTGATTAATTTTTATTTTTATTTTGGATTTCGTTGAAACTGATTTATCTAAAACTTTATTTACGGCATTTTTTTTAGATAATTAACTAGCTAACTATAATTTACAAACTCTAAGCTAGCGACATTTCACAACTAAGAAATGAATCAAATTAAATTTCCATTGTTTTCTGCTGCCCACTGTATATCACTTGATAAACAAATCTGTAAATAAACTAAACCAGCAAAGTATATTTCTCTCCCAATTCTATAAAAAAACAACCATATTATTTTATAGTACAAAAACAGGAAAAAATCATTTAATGACAAATTAGTATGCAAAGGTAAAATACATTTTTAAAAATAAAAAAAAGGTTTTTGAATTCGAGTTAATATGGTTCACCTTGAGGTGTGTGGTGTAATGTAAAATTGTTATTCATTTTTAGACTCTGCAAGACAATGGAGTGCTGGACTGTATACATTACACAGGTATTGATATTGATGTTGATATTTTTTGTATTTTAACCTAAAATTATAAATTTAAAGGAACTTTTGTTTAAATGTAGTCAAACTCTGTATAAACAAGACTTATAGAAACATGAAGGTATATAAGCAGAATTAGGGTTTCCATTCGCAAAACTTTTGCGCAATTTTTGCGGAACGAAACGCAAAATTTTACTTTCTTTTCACATTAGTTTTACGCGAAAAAAAAACAACAATTTGCGCAATCATTCGCAAAAGTCATTTCGCGCAAAATTGCCCTATTCCGCTTTTGCGAAACTCAAGTTTTGCGCAATACCGCAACTAGAGTTTTGCGCAATTCCGCAATTTCGTAAAAATCAAACGGTTGGGGACGGTGTGTGTTTCTTAGAATTCAATTCTGGAAATATCTTGTTTTGGAATGTCTTCCTATTGGTCACTTTTACATAATTGACCAATGACAGTTAAGAAGAGTTCAAATCTCACAATTTTCTCGACAATTTTATTTTTGGACATGCATATTTCCTAAAAGTGGATTCGTCAGGCATTGGTTACTTTCTTGCATTATTTTATATGAGATTAAAAAGATTTCAGAAATTTGATTAAAAAAATTTAGGAATATAATTCATATTGATTAGGCAAAGCTTAATTATTTGATAGGATGAAAATATTGCCAAGTTTCAAACTCTCTAATTTCTATTTTATTAATTTTGGTCCCTTAATTTAGACTTTTTGCAACTGAAAGTAACCAATTGAGTGTAGTATAATCGTTATCATACTCGTATGTTAATATTTTTTTATTTATGGAATAAATCTTCAGTTGTTTAATTCTAAGCTCAGAATATCAATTTTTGACAATTCTCCTAAAAGTTACATTTTGCGTAAAACTTGCGGTTTTGCGCAAATTGCGCAAAAAATGCGCAAAACTAAAATTTCGTTTCATGTGCAACTTTCGCAAAAAAATATTTCCGGTTTTGCGCAAATTGCACAAAGAAATAGCGCAAAACTCATTGCGTTTCAGGCGCAAAAATAGCGCAAAAGTTCGCAAAAAAAATTTGCGCGAAAGAAGCACAAATTTGGCGCAAAATATTTAGCCATTTCGTGGAAACCTTAAATAGAATCTATGTAAGAAAGTCTCAGGAAAAAAAGTTTCTGGAAAAAACCTGAAAATCAAAACTTTTGTAAAAAAGTCCCAATTTTCTAAAGTCCTAGGACAAAATGTGACTGAAAATAAAGTCCTAAGTTTTAGATTCCCGAGACTTTTTTCCTAAAATAATCTCAGGAAATAAGATCACATGAATAAAAGTCCTGAAGAAAATAAATCCAAAGAAAAAAACCAAGAAAAAAAGTCTTCTGTCTTGGGTCTGAGACGTTTTCATAAAAAAGACTTTTTTCTAAGCATCTGCATATTGAATATAATAACCCTAAGTGTTTTTATATCAATCCCCTTTTTTCTTGGGTTGTAAACAACATCCTTTGTTCCCTAGCATTTTCCACATAAAAGGACTTTTTTTCGGGGACTTTCTTGTAAAAAATTATACTGGAATCAGAAAAAAAGTTCTGGAAAATAAAGTCTCAAAAGGGTAGGACTTTATTTAAAAAGACTCTTTATGTCAAGGACTTTTTTCAAAGAACTTTTTTGGCGGTTACCATATATAACACAGTTTATCTTCTCGCCCATATTTTATAGCGTAGTTCAAGTATGTCGCATGATTTGAGCTAATCATGTTAAGTATTTGATTGAAACGCAGTTTTCATGAATAATCTCATTATGTCTACGTTTAAAACATTAAATCATTTATGACGTACAACGTACTGCAAGTTTACAGAATATCATGTTTACACGCTTTTTGCTACAGATATACATTTCTGTTTCTATACGTCTTGTTTATATAGAGTTTTCCCAAATCTTTAAAATCTGTAAACACAAACCTCACCATGTTGATTTACCTACCGTCTTGCTTATATAGAGTTTTACCAAATCTACAAAATATGTAAACACGAACCTCATCATGTTGATTTACCTTACGCCTTGTTTATATAGAGTTTTCCCAAATCTACAAAATGTGTTAAACACAAACCTCACCATGTAATATTGAATAATATTGAATAATATTGAATAATATTGAATAATATTGAATAATATTGAACAATATTGAATAATATTGAACAATATTGAATAATATTTAACAATATTGAATAATATTGAACATTATTGAATAATATTTGATGATATTGAAAAATATTGAATAATATTAATTATATTTAGCCCTGAAGCTGCGCATGATATTATCCCTGAGTTAAGAAACTGTGTTGAGAGATACTGGCAGGTCCATCTTTCCCCACCCTGGTCTTCCAGGTATACTTCCCTTACACCCTGGTCTTCCAGGTATACTTCCCTTACACCCTGGTCCTCCAGGTATACTTCCATTACACCCTGGTCTTCCAGGAATACTTCCCTTACACCCTGGTTTTCCAGGTATACTTCTCTTACACCCTGGTCTTCCAGGTATACTTCCCTTACACCCTGGTCTTCCAGGTATACTTCCCTTACACCCTGGTCTTCCAGGTATACTTCCCTTACACCCTGGTTTTTCAGGTATACTCCCCTTACACCCTGGTCCTCCAGGTATACTTCCTTTACACCCTGGTCTTCCGGGTATACTTCCCTTACAACCTGGTCCTCCAGGTATATTTTCCTTACACCCTGGTCTTCCAGGTATACTTCCCTTACACCCTGGTCCTCCAGGTATACTTTCATTACACCCTGGTCCTCCAGGTATACTTTCCTTACACCCTGGTCTTCCAGGTATACTTCCCTTACACCCTAATCTCATCTTTCATCTCCCTTCTTTTTTGACCAATCGGTTTGAATGATGATCACATGTCCTTTCTTTGTCCTTTTTCCTTATTTTTCCTTCATTCCCCATCCTTTTTTCCCCTTATCTTGCATATACATTAACATTATACAGGGTGTCCCAATTAGACATGGGAATTAAATGACGATTTCTATATCGCCTTTGATCCACGCGGGGTTATTTTGTAAATATAATTTTGTAGTATCAAAGTTAAAACATTTAAAACATTTAACAACGAAAAGTGCTTGGGATTTCCAAAATTTGTCTTCCATTTTGTAACGTTTAAAAAATCGGAGATAATATAAAATTTTTCCAGATTCCAGATTATGAAAACTTAACAACAGCGCCATTTCCTTTCCCTTCATTCCTATTCCCTTGCATTACACTTACTTAGATATTAAATGTGTACTGTACTGTCTGTATATAAATGTGTACTGTATATAAATGTATGAACTATTGGAAAACTGAGTCCAAAATTTAAGTTAGGATCGCAGGGAGGATCGCAGAAGATCGTTGAACGAAAGTCCTGACTTTCCTTTTTGGGGTCTAATTATTTCTGTAGATTTTGATCCTAAAAAAAACATTATTACCAACTGAAAGGGCCTTTAAAGCATAATTAAGCGTATTTTTAAATTTATAAAAACACATTTCGAGTTACTTTTCCGAATAACTTTTTATTAAAAAATTTAAATTTCAGGTATTTGAAAAAAATAATAAAAAAGTCAGTGATGGGGCAACCTGTTGGTTTTACTGATTTTTTTGGATATCTGGTTGGAGAACAGTTACTCACGGGGGTAAGTGTTTATGTAACTGTATTTAAAGGCCTTGATTTAGTCGCAGTATTTTACCAGCACGTATTCAAAAAAATAAAATTGAAAAAAAACTTTCATTTACTCTAGTTTTCTGATTTTCTAGTCCATATATATCGGAACCTGATGAGGAATTTAAACCATTAGGTTGCTAAGTATAGAAAATTTGAGTTTGCGGCAAAAACTCAGTTTCTTTGCCAGATACCGATATCAAAAAAATATTTTCTTTTTATCGTTTATGAATATCATAAGAAGGAGATTGCAAGCCAAAATATACAATGGATGCAAAAAGACCACTTATCAAAAAAATCTTGATAAATACTAAAGACTCGCTGAAAATTCTAAGGGATTGTAAAATGCTATAGATGTAATTTTACGTTGTCATTCATTCATCCTTTGCACCTTTGACTGAGCAAAATTTATGAAAATATCCTTGTTTGTCTATTTAAGTTTTTGCAAATTTCTAATTATAATTTCTCTTTAAAACGACGATACTTCGATACTTCGAAAAAGATTAAAATGCAATCTGCAAAGTGGAATCTGACATACCGGTCAATTCATGGGAGGTCATTTAATGTATTTATGTCATAAGTTCAAACAAGGTACTAATGCAAGGAAAGTTATTTCATAGGTGTACGCAATTTTTGTACTGCAGTGTGCTGTCTTTCGGCGGAAAAGTAAACACAAGGCGGATTCCACAGCCTGACATGGAATCAATTTTGCAAAAAAATAATCTTTGAAATATTCTGTTCATAGGGAACTATTGTGTGAATTATCAAAATTATCAAAATTAAATGCTTTAATCCTCCTCGGATACTAAACGAACATATATTCTTGTTTACAAATTCCGCCCAGAGAGAACTGGTTTCAATATGTACGCAGAGTATAAACAACCACAAATACCTTTCCTTGCATTATTACCTTGAGTTCAACTAAGCCGTGTCTAAATCATGAGAACAATAAATGCTACAAGCTTAGAAGTGCAGTTTCATTTAGTTTATTTGAACGTTCAAAATATGATTTTTAAATTAAAAATCTATTAGTTTGCAACAAGTAGGATGAAATGGAATTGATTTTAGATATTTCTTTATATTGCACAGTAGTCAAAATCTAATATTTCCATAGAATTTAATCGTTTTCATATTTTAGTCTAATCTTTTACGTTTCTTATCAGGAGCTCTTTCTGGGTCCTCTTGGTACCTTTCAACTCTATATACTCATCCAAAATTCCCCAGGTGAGCTTCATTCATCTATAACCAGTCATTCAACTATAACTAGTCATTCATCTATAACTAGTCATTAATCTATAACTAGTCATTCATCTATAACTTACTTCATCTGCAGCTAGTCATATTTCAATAATATTGAATACTATTGAATAGTATTGAATGATATTGAATACAATTGAATAATATAGAATAATATTGAATAATATTGAATAATATTGAATAATATTGAATAATATTGAATAATATTGAACAATATTGAATAATATTGAACAATATTGAATAATATTTAACAATATTGAATAATATTGAACATTATTGAATAATATTTGATGATATTGAAAAATATTGAATAATATTAATTATATTTAGCCCTGAAGCTGCGCATGATATTATCCCTGAGTTAAGAAACTGTGTTGAGAGATACTGGCAGGTCCATCTTTCCCCACCCTGGTCTTCCAGGTATACTTCCCTTACACCCTGGTCTTCCAGGTATACTTCCCTTACACCCTGGTCCTCCAGGTATACTTCCATTACACCCTGGTCTTCCAGGAATACTTCCCTTACACCCTGGTTTTCCAGGTATACTTCTCTTACACCCTGGTCTTCCAGGTATACTTCCCTTACACCCTGGTCTTCCAGGTATACTTCCCTTACACCCTGGTCTTCCAGGTATACTTCCCTTACACCCTGGTTTTTCAGGTATACTCCCCTTACACCCTGGTCCTCCAGGTATACTTCCTTTACACCCTGGTCTTCCGGGTATACTTCCCTTACAACCTGGTCCTCCAGGTATATTTTCCTTACACCCTGGTCTTCCAGGTATACTTCCCTTACACCCTGGTCCTCCAGGTATACTTTCATTACACCCTGGTCCTCCAGGTATACTTTCCTTACACCCTGGTCTTCCAGGTATACTTCCCTTACACCCTAATCTCATCTTTCATCTCCCTTCTTTTTTGACCAATCGGTTTGAATGATGATCACATGTCCTTTCTTTGTCCTTTTTCCTTATTTTTCCTTCATTCCCCATCCTTTTTTCCCCTTATCTTGCATATACATTAACATTATACAGGGTGTCCCAATTAGACATGGGAATTAAATGACGATTTCTATATCGCCTTTGATCCACGCGGGGTTATTTTGTAAATATAATTTTGTAGTATCAAAGTTAAAACATTTAAAACATTTAACAACGAAAAGTGCTTGGGATTTCCAAAATTTGTCTTCCATTTTGTAACGTTTAAAAAATCGGAGATAATATAAAATTTTTCCAGATTCCAGATTATGAAAACTTAACAACAGCGCCATTTCCTTTCCCTTCATTCCTATTCCCTTGCATTACACTTACTTAGATATTAAATGTGTACTGTACTGTCTGTATATAAATGTGTACTGTATATAAATGTATGAACTATTGGAAAACTGAGTCCAAAATTTAAGTTAGGATCGCAGGGAGGATCGCAGAAGATCGTTGAACGAAAGTCCTGACTTTCCTTTTTGGGGTCTAATTATTTCTGTAGATTTTGATCCTAAAAAAAACATTATTACCAACTGAAAGGGCCTTTAAAGCATAATTAAGCGTATTTTTAAATTTATAAAAACACATTTCGAGTTACTTTTCCGAATAACTTTTTATTAAAAAATTTAAATTTCAGGTATTTGAAAAAAATAATAAAAAAGTCAGTGATGGGGCAACCTGTTGGTTTTACTGATTTTTTTGGATATCTGGTTGGAGAACAGTTACTCACGGGGGTAAGTGTTTATGTAACTGTATTTAAAGGCCTTGATTTAGTCGCAGTATTTTACCAGCACGTATTCAAAAAAATAAAATTGAAAAAAAACTTTCATTTACTCTAGTTTTCTGATTTTCTAGTCCATATATATCGGAACCTGATGAGGAATTTAAACCATTAGGTTGCTAAGTATAGAAAATTTGAGTTTGCGGCAAAAACTCAGTTTCTTTGCCAGATACCGATATCAAAAAAATATTTTCTTTTTATCTCAATATTAAGGGGGGGGGGGCTAATGGGACTAAGTCTCCCCAAACTGGACAAATTTTAGCATACGCCCTTGCAGCTTTGTGAATATCATAATTTTATGGGAAAAAAACCTTTAACCCAATGTTTGCAAAGTAAAGGGGATTTCTAAAATCTATTAGTTTAAAACATTTTTAAAATATTTTCATTCATCTTTCTTTTTCATCTGAAAATAATCTAATTCAATTTGAAGTTGAACATTGTCAAACAGAAAATTATTTTAATTTATTTATAAATAAATAAACAAAGTTATTAAGGTTATGTTAGATATTAATCTTTCCAACTATTTATATGAAAGTTTTTTTTTAAAAAAGGGTGTGCAGTATTTCGAACATTTACATCGGTATATTTTAAAGCTTTGTTGGATGAAATATGTTTTTCTCTTTATTATTTTCAATTGTGAATTGTGATTTATCCGAGCCCGCGATTTTAAAAATCAAGAAAATAAGGCTCGGGTCTAAGCTGTCGTTTGGCCTTATTTACGGCTTGAGCTTTCGGATTCAAGCTGCATCTTATTTTCAACAGAGTTGAGTTAAAAAAACTGGTTCAATATTCTATTTGGCGGATTTTCATGGTAGGAATTGGCGCATTCCGGGTTCTTATGAGAACAAGACTCAACATTGAGCCTTATTCTCCACTTAAACCAACCAAGGTCGGTTTATTTTCATTGGGCCTAACTCCTTAAGTTGAGCCGAAGATCTTGCAGCTGTCAATCACGTGACACAAGCTGGGTTGAAGATTGGGTCTTAAAGTCGGGTTTAAGGAATTACGGCTCGAGCCAAAGTTTTTAAATCGTGGGCTCTGTATAAATAGCTAGAACAACTTCTTCTTCCACATAACGTTTTAAATGCCTCTCTTTTGATATATCAAAGATATATAATGAAATCTTTTAAAGAACTATTATATATTTACAGAGTCAGTCCCTTAAAAGGCATTTCGTTTTTTTAATCAAATATATTTTTGTTTTTTTAAGCGTATGAAGAGTAAACTGAGCGAACAAGGAACTCATCTAAAGGATGGTCAAGTAGCTCTCCCTCTATACACCTGCTTACACGTCAAGAAAAATATTTCAGCTAAAGTATTCCAGGTATTCAACTAGATAGGTAGACATACAAGTTAAAATAGTAGATTTACACATAAACCAACCGACTTACTTTTCATCTTTAAGATATTTCCATGAAATCTGCAATGGCATGTTTAAATTTTAATATTTTCTAGAACACACGATTATTTTACAATAAAATCTTTAAGCTTTTTTATAAAAAACTGAGTTCTTTTCAATAAAAAGTATAAAACTATAGTCGAAAAGATTCTCAATTTAAAATGTTAAAATGTTTGTTGGAACAGGGGTCCATAAATACAAAGAAAATAAATACGTCCCAAAAAAATTAAAAGTCAAGGAACAATCATGTTTTTCTTTTTTATAATTAACTAGGCTTTTAGGGCGCTTCGCGCCCATCTTCTTTTTAAATTGTGAACATGTTCTTTTTGTTTACATTTTAAAACAAAGAAGAAAAAAATGTTGCGGATTTTTAAAAAAAAATCGCGGATTTTCAAGAATTTAATTTTTTTTACAAAATTAAAAACCTTTTTTTTAATTTTTATCATTCATAAACCTTCCCTGTGGTCACGTGATGTCCCACAAAATTTTTTGGCCCGATCGGTTTAGCCATTTTGACGTTTATTGGATACAAACAAACAGACACCCAAACAGACAAACACCAAGACAAGCCAAATTTATATATAGAATACGTCCAGTTATGCTTCTTATACCTTAGTGGATCGTGGATTAACAATTTTTAAGCTAAAAAAACTCAGATATAAGGTTGTTAATCGGGATTGCCATACTTTTTTTTTAAAGGAGGGTCTCTAGACAGTCCTGTACCACATTCTTTTGGAGACCACTGGAAAATTTAAATAACTGGTAAAATTACATAAACCAATAAAATAAAATTTCTGTTTAGGAATGGTATGAATTTACTCCATTTGAAGTATGTATTCCGAAGTATGGAGTGTCAATGCCAATGGAAAAGTTCGGATCTAAATATTTTATGGGAACTACTGTCTCTAAACATACGGTAATATTTTACTTCAAATCACGATACAATGTTAGAAATAGAGCAGTTAAGAGGTTTTAATATTCATTCATTTTCATAATTCATTTATATTCATATTTTTAATAATCCATAGAATCAATTGTATTTTGAAACAAACCTAAAATATAAGGAAAAAATGCTCTCAAATTAAATAAAAACTTTATAAGGTGTGAATGTGGTCCAGACAAAGACCAGCTTTTTGAGGCTTAACATTTCTTGAAAGTTTTAGATCACTTAGGTTGTGCTGAACTGCACTGGGGTTCTTTATTTATCAAGGGCTTTTAAAATATACTAATAAGTAATTAATGAGACAAATATAAACATTTGAAAGGAGGTTCCTCGACAATATCTATAATGTATAGGAGATTCCTTTATATTATCTGGATGTATAGGAGGTTCCTCTTCATTATCTGTATGTATAGGAGGTTCCCCTACATTATCTATATGTATAGGAGGTTCCTCTACATTATCTGAATGTATAGGAGGTTCCTCTTCATTATCTGTATGTATAGGAGGTTCCCCTACATTATCTATATGTATAGGAGATTCCTTTACATTATCTATAAGTATAGGAGGTTCCTCTACATTATCTATATGTATAGGAGGTTCCTCTACATTATCTGAATGTATAGGAGGTTCCTCTACATTATCTATATGTATAGGAGATTCCTTTACATTATCTATATGTATAGGAGGTTCCTCTACATTATCTATATGTATAGGAGGTTCCTCTACATTATCTGTATGGGATCTGGGGGAGTGCCTTCACTATTCTCTTCAAAAGATTGTTGTATGAGAAGGGAAGGAAGGGGGAGACAGATTTACAACTATTGAACAGGAAGAACTCCGCAATTGGAAACCAGATTGAACAGGTCAGAAATTTTTTTTTGTTTGATGAGGTTCCAACTTTTATTTGGTTAGTTTGGGTCCAACTCTTTAAAACAGATTGGTGTAAACCATGCGACACAAGTTCTAAGTTTCTAAAAACATTATCTTTTCAACCGGATGGTTCAACCTTATAGTTTAAACTGCTTGATCTAACAGTATGCATAGCTTAAAACTTTAAAACCTACGACTTTAGGATTCAAAGATATATGGATCTAACAACTAGAATTTTTGGAGAATGCTCATTCCTTTTTTAATCTTTAGTAATCGATTATTACTTTATTTATTCACTAATTGCATTTTTAACCCATAAAATTAATGTATTGGATTTCTTTTGACAATATTCTCCATGTGGGACCATAGTGGACATTAATGTATTATTTGTACAAGTTTACTAATAAAGTATGAGATTTTAATGAAACTTGGATTTCTTTATCACCAAGCTAGGGATGGGCATATAGCTAGATTCGTTTTACGGAAACTTTTAAAATTTTTAGACTCTTAAAAGGTTTTACGACAGTCTGAGATTTAAAATTGTATTCTCTAGAAGTTTGTTTTTATCATTGCAAATATAATTGCAAAAACTGACCAAAACAATCGTTTTAAAACGATAGTTTTTGACTTATATTTTGTAACAAATTTGTATGTTTGATGAAAGCAAACTTTTTAAAATGTTGGACCCTTCTCATATTGTCGTAAAACCCTTAAAAAGTCTAAACACATAAAAGTTTACGTAAAACGAATCTGCCCATCTACCATATTTAAAAATTTCTGTTTTGAATCATCTGCGTACTCAACGTTAATGAATCTTAAGTGACCCCTCCCCCCCCAAGAAAANATTAAGATGCATTGCAATTTTCAATTTTGTTCGGTGCAAGATTGAAATAGCATAATTACTTTAGAAGTACATTTATTGCTTCTAGATATAAATACATATTAAATAAAGAGTGTATAAAAGGAGAGGAAGTTGAGAAGGTCTTCTCCGGTTCCAGGGTCCGACACAACTCATTTGCGGATTTCATAATCCTCTTTCGGGGATTTCATATACTCTACACTTTAAACGTTTTTTGATCAAGAATGGATGAGAAAATTTTATTTCTAGCTAAAAGTTGATTATTCTTAATTTTGGTTTAAAGTTAAGACCGGTTACTCGCGCGCGCAGTTAAGTACTCTTCAAGATAGAAAACTGTTGTGAATTTGACGTACAACTCTTAAAATAGAGGAACACGTTAAGTTTTTACGGATATAGTCATTTTAGGCATCAAAGCTTCGAATTAATCTAGCTAAGGTCGTCTTTAAATTCTCATCCTATGTGGATAACCCTGTTTTTACAGATGTTTCTAGTTCTAATATTATTATATTTCAGGATGGCTTAAACATGTTTTCTTTACACTCAGGTAAAAGCTGTACACTGTACACTGTAAACTGTATACTGTACACTGTACACTGTACACTCTACACTGTACACTCTACACTCTACACTCTACACTCTACACTCGACACTCGACACTCTACACTCTACACTCTACACTCTACACTCTACACTCTACACTCTACACTCTACACTCTACACTCTACACTCTACACTCTACACTCTACACTCTACACTCTACACTCTACACTCTACACTCTACTCTCTACACTCTACACTCTACACTCTACACTATACACTCTACACTCTAAACTCTACACTCTACACTGTACTCTGTAAACTGTGCACCGTACACCGTACACCGTACATTGTACACTGTACAGTGTACAGTTTACACTATAAAGTGTACACTGTACACTGTACACTACATTATGGAGGTCAAAGTCAGTGGTGTATAAAAAAAAAAATTTCAGAGAGATTAGTTTCTGGGGGGGGGGGTCAGCACAAATCGGGCCTAGAACCTTAAAAAGGGGGATTTTACTGATGTATAATGTTATGCTAAATTAAACAAAACATTTTTTTACTCTGTAGAAAGTACAACAATCTTTAGAGAAAACATTTCTTCCTAGAATCCCGAAACATGATTGCTGAAACCTCACTTGAAAGAAGAAGAAGGCTAAAAGGTGAAAACTTATAAAAGAAAGAGAGAAGGGAACGATTTTAAGAAACTATAATCACAAAATCTTTACATAAATTTTTTTTCTAAATTAGTTTTTTGAAAGTCAGGTAGTCAGGATTTTTATCTAGAAAAGTATTCATTTTCTTCTGATGCATATAATGCCTAAGTCACTTTTATAGAAAACCGTACTTGAAAATAACCAATTTAAAGGCACAGACCGGCTATGTAAGGTAGTTGAAATGAGTATGCAGTGTTGTGGAAAGCTTCTTTAGGATTCATTTGAGACATATAAAACTTTTTTACAGATCTGTAAATCTTGAGTTTGAGCACTTGACGTTCGAAACTCCTACTTTGGGGGTGGATACGTTTCAGTATTATTTTTTTTAAATTATTAAATAATTAGTAGGAGTTTTTAACGTCGAATTTGCGGTCAAACTCAGGATTTACAAATCTTTAAAAAGTTTTTTATGTTTCAAATGAATCCGAAAGAAGTTTTCCACAACGCTGCATACTCAGTTCATCTACCTTACATAGCCGGTCTGTCCCTTTAAAGAAAGAGTAATGAGGGATAATTAGACTATTTATACTCAGACAAAGGTTTTATTAGTACCGTTGTGAATCGGCAATGACACTTTATAAATTGAAATAAGACTACAGTAGTGTAGAGGACGAAATCCCCGAAAGAGGATTATAAAATCCGCAAATCAGTTTTGTTAGATTCTTATCTACTTATCTTCCTCTCCTTTAATACACTCGTTATTCATTAAATGTATTTGTATCTAGAAGCAATAAATGTACTTCTAAAACTGTCCCTTTAAACTGCTCGTGAAATGTTTTGTTTAGGAGTTGTTGGCGTAACAATGGAGGATCTTCTTCTTTTTGAAGAAGATTATGATGATGATTTCAGACTAGGGATTAATGAAGATTATGTTGACGTTTTGAGGTAATTACTTTATTATCATTAATTCTTCTATATATAATCAAGCTCTTCGCCCATATATATATATAGTTATAGTATTTATTTTCAAACACAAAATACCAAAAAATAACGTATATGATGCAAAGATAATATATATATAGATATGCAGGCAGGTATAAATTTAGAATTTTCTCAGAGGTTCAAAAATTAGTTGTCTGCTACAAGCGATTTAGGAAGGAGGTTTCTACCTGCCTGCATATCTATATATATATTATCTTTGATATGATGGTTCTGCTAAAACACAAAAGAAAATTTAATTTGGGATTAATGAAAATTATGTATTGACGTAACCTCGAGTCTCCTTGCATTCAATCTTCAGCTATGCGAACGTGTTTTGCAGCATGCGCGCTCCTCTATTGGTAATCAGAAATAAAAGTTAACATTAAACCGTTTATTTCATAGAAAAAAGGCCATATTAACCTATGTTAACGGTGATACAATTTTTTTACAGCTTTCTTTATTGTGTAAACATTTTTATTTTTATTATGCATAGGGTAGGGTAAAGGGCGGTAACAAGTCCGGTCTGTGTAAAAAAAAATCTAAATAGCCCATAACTTGTTTGTGACTAAAGCTACAGATCTAAAAACTAAATTTTTGAAAAGCCTTTGAAAAATGGATTTAGAAACAAATGTTACATTTTGATATTTGTTTAAAGCAAAAAAATATTTTTGACATTTTTTTACCCTTGTTTTTGACATTTTTTTCACCCCTCCCTATAACCCAAACTGTTAAAGTTATTGGTTATTATTTTTAATGAGCTGGCCTTGAAATATTGTGCTATTAATATGCATTTCAACCCTATACCTATTCTCTAAGGCCTTTTTTCAAAGGGTGTGGGTGTGGTACACCCCCCCCCCCCCGGCTTTACACAGATTCAGACCCACCCAGCCTTTATAGGATTAAATATGAATTGTATAATAGTAAATGTCGTGTTATCCAGCCAAATAATTATGTTTTGATCATTATTTACCATTTATAAATTTCAGCGTTGATTCTGATATGGATGATGAACTGGAAAATACTGGAAGGAAAGAATTTAATATTGATTTAATAATATTTTGTTCAAAACGTATCCAACAAATAAATTTTGAACATTTAATTATTTTCATTAAAAAAAATCTCCACGCAAATTGCAACCCAATGTGCAAGGTAATTCACAATCAACAAAATTTAGAATAATTATTTTATACAAAGCATTTAGCTAACAGTACACATTACATAAATTAATAAGTTTGTTCGCAAATATTAGATTATCAAGACGTTTTGATATTTGTATTCACATATACTTTTCATCTATTTTAATCAAACTTTAGCCAAAAATTTCACAGTTTTGAGATAAAATTTGCTTTCGGTTAAATGTTAGAAGTATTCGAAAATCTGCGAAATTCACTCTAAACACGCAGGTTTCTGAGTTAACTCATGGAGACCCGTGATTCAAAAATCAAAATTTAGTTAATTTTCTATATTTTGAAGAAGATAAAACAATCACTTTAACATAGATTTAATTAAACCTTGCTAGATTAAAATTCTGTTTACAGAGATTTTAATCCAACTGCAACTGCTAGTACAGGGAATCTTCCCTCTCCTATTGTCCCCGGGACAATTCCTTTATTAGGCCTTGGTTCCTCTCCTGGTCCAGGGACCACTAATCGGCCAGGAAGCCAGGGCTCCCTCTCTGGTCCAGGGCCCACTAGTCCAGGAAGCCAAGGTTCACCCTATGGTCCAGGGACCACTAGTCCAGAAAGCCAGGCTTCCCCCTCTAGTCCAGGGACCACTAGCCCAGGAAGCCAGGTTTCCCCCTCTGGTCCAGGGACCACTCGTCCAGGAAGCCAAGGTTCTCCCTCTGGTCTAGGGACCACTAGTCCAAGGATCCAAGGTTCCCCCTCTGGTCCAAGAACCAAAGGACCTAGAACTCCTGTTTCACCAACTGTCCCTTCAAGCCCCTTGGACCTACCTTCACAATCAGGATCTGAAGATCACAGTTCTCAAGAACTTCAGGGTTCTCATGATCCCAATCATGATAATCAACCCTTGTCTGATCAATTACGAGAAAATGATAAAAGCTTCTCGAAGCCATCACCCGCAGGAAAGAAAACACTAAGGTAAAGTTAGTATTTCAGGAGTTTGTATTTTTATTTTTAAATGTTTTTCAATTCTAATTTTCTATTTAGAAGTTTGCCTATCAAGAAATATGTATTAATAATATGTAGCAAGATATATAAATATAGAATTAATGGCGGTACATTATTTCATACAAATTTTTCATATTTTGGTTCTAAGACAGAATGGTAAATCCAATATTTGGATTTCTTTCATGATCAAAGAAAAAGATTCCTTGAACTAAAATTTGAAAATCTGGAAAACGACGAAATAGATCATTAAATTCTTGAAATCAGAAATAAAGGAAAGGTTCATAGATAGGAGGTACCAGTACAAACGTCGGACGCATAAACGTCTGACGCAACAAAGGTTGGACAATACAAACGTCGGACCAGTACAAACGTCGGACTAGAACAAACGTCGGACGCACATCAGGTTGCAAATATGCAGGGTTTACACTATCAGGTTGCAAATATGTTCAGGGTTTAGGAAAAGTCGGACGCAACAAAGGTCGGACAGTACAAACGTGGGACTTACAAACGTCGGACCAGTACAAACGTCGGACTCAACAAAGGTCGGACAGTACAAACGTCGGACATAAAAACGTCTGACGCAACTAAGGTAGGATAGTATGAACGTCGGACGCAACAAAGGTCGGACAGTACAAACGTTGGACTTACAAACGTCGGACCAGTACAAACGTCGGACGCAACAAAGGTCGGACGGTACAAACGTCGGACTTGCAAACTTCGGACCAGTAAAAACGTCGGACGCAACAAAGGTCGGACAGTACAAACGTTGAACTTACAAACGTCAGACCAGTAAAAACGTCGGACTAGTACAAACGTCGGACTAAATATACCTATTAATCGTACTTTTTAGCGGCAATGATTTAAAAAATAAAATTTGACTAAATATGTTGACTCATTTGAATAAAAAAATTACAATTAAAATATCATTTGTTTAAATTTTGATTCAAATTTAGGCGAAGATTCAAAAGTTTCAGAGAAACCTTCATAACGCGGAAAGAACACAGGTTGTTTATTTATTTTACCTTTGCCACAAACTCTGATTTTCTAATCCCTATATCTTTGCAACAAAGTGTTTCTACACTTTAGGTATTTTAAATTATGAATTCTTTTATATCAAATACTCTCAGTTTGAAATATAAAAGGTTGTAAAGATATAGGGGTTAGGAAATTGAAGTTGACTTTGCGGTAAAGGCTCAAACCATTTCAAAAAAAAATTTTCGATTCAATTTACTGTTTTAATTTTTAAAAGGCAGCGGAATTCTTAATCCATTAAGACAATGCAAAATGTGAAAATTGCAGAAAATTTACGTCAAAAGTTTTATAATTGCATTTTTGAGAAGACCATTTTCTCTGATTACATTTTATACTGGCCGGATAGATGGTACAAATTCCTATTTTTGTGTTTAATTTTGCTTATGATGATTTTTAGAAACATAATTTTATCTTTAAAATAAAAAATCTTAAAAATTAACACATTTTTCTGTTTTGCACGATGTCTGAGTCTGTACTCTGTTATAGTTATCTTCAAAAATTAAACTTTTAATATTTGACTTTTGAGTTTAGAAGATTATAAGAATTTGCTGCAGAAGCAATTAAAGTAATAATTTGAAACTGTCTTTCATGTCAAATACAGAGTTCACAAGAAAATTACTGGTTCACAATTATACTTGTTTTGAAAACTACTTTTAGCCCTTAAAGACAAAATAACGAGTTACACAAATTATAAAGTTAAATTCACAATTTGAATTTTTAGAGTTATTGGATAATTTTGTTTACGGAGGAAAATATCCGTTTATTTTCAATGAGGAATTAGTTGAAAGCAACCTCATTCCGTTAGAAGAGATCCAGACTGCTATAAAAAAAATTGCATCAATTTTCATGACAGGGTCAATTTTGCAACGCCTCGACCTTTAATTTTACTTCATAACTCATACTTTTTAATAGTCATCTTTTTTATAGTAGTAAAGCACCTGGTTTTATCTTTGGTGTTAAATACGTTTTTTAACTTTATCAATTTAATTATTTCTAATTTTTTTATGATACAAATTTATTGATACATGTATTTAATGCAGAATGAAAATAATCATTTTTCTTCTTGTTTTCTGGCTGTCCTGGGTGTTAAATAAGTAATTGGTAAAGTTCTCATCGATTTTTGGATGATTGTGGCAACTGTTCTCCAGTGTGTGTGTATTATAGGGAGGAGTTGGAAGGGTCTGGGCTCTCAAGGATGTTAGAAAGAGCTCTGTCCATCAGCTCTTTGGATAGCAGAGCAGGTTTTCATTTCTTTTCAGTTAATCATTGCTTACCATATTTGGACTTTTTAGATCTGATTTTAATCGAGATTTTGAAGGAATTGATTCTTTGCCACAAACTCTGGTTTTTTAAATCCCAAAATTTTTGCAACCCAATTTTGTAGAAATTTTAGTTTATGGCAAAGACTCAATTCCTTTTGTCACGATAATGTCTAGTAGTAAAGTAAGGTGGATTACTGTCAAACGGCTGGAATCAAAAATAGCCAATACTAAAGTAAGATGTCTCTCATTTTTTCTTCCATGAGCTAGTCATTAAAAAGTTGGTTTATGGTCGATCATATACTTATACTAACTCAACTCTAAGGGCAAAATCATCCATAAATAGCCCAAACGGAATATGTAAGGTTAACTCTCAATCGGAATATATAGGGTTAAATCTCAATCGGAATATGTAGGGTTAACTCTCAATCGGGATATATAGGGTTAAATCTCAATCAGAATATATAGGGTTAACTCTCAATCAGAATATATAGGGTTAACTCTCAATCGGGATATGTAGGGTTAACTCTCAATCGGGATATATAGGGTTAACTCTCAATCAGGATGTATAGGGTTAACTTTTAATCGGGATATATAGGGTTAAATCTCAATCGGAATATATAGGGTTAACTCTCAATCAGGATATATAGGGTTAACTCTCAATCGGAAAATATAGGGTTAACTCTCAATCGGAATATATAGAGTTAAATCTCAATCAGAATATATAGAGTTAACTCTCAATCGGAATATATAGGGTTAACTCTCAATCGGGATGTATAGGGTTAACTTTTATTTGTGATATATAGGGTTAACTCTCAATCGGGATATGTAGGGTTAACTCTCAATCGGGATATATAGAGTTAACTCTCAATCAGGATATGTAGGGTTAACTCTCAATCGGGATATATAGGGTTAACTCTCAATCGGAATATATAGAGTTAACTCTCAATCGGAATATATAGGGTTAGCTCTCAATCTGAATATATAGAGTTAACTCTCAATTGGGATATGTAGGGTTAACTCTCAATCGGGATATATAGGGTTAACTCTCAATCGAAATATATAGGGTTAAATCTCAATCAGAATATATAGAGTTAACTCTCAATCGGAATATATAGGGTTAACTCTCAATCAGGATGTATAGAGTTAATTTTTAATCGGGATATATAGGGTTAACTCTCAATCGGAATATATAGGGTTAACTCTCAATCGGGATTTATAGGGTTAACTTTTATTCGTGATATATAGGGTTAGCTCTCAATCAGAATATATAGAGTTAACTCTCAATCGGAATATATAAGGTTAACTCTCAATCAGGATGTATAGGGTTAACTTTTATTCGTGATATATAGGGTTAACTCTCAATCGGAATATATAGAGTTAACTCTCAATCGGGATATGTAGGGTTAACTCTCAATCGGGATATATAGAGTTAACTCTCAATCAGGATATGTAGGGTTAACTCTCAATCGGGATATATAGGGTTAAATCTCAATCGGAATATATAGAGTTAACTCTCAATCGGAATATACAGGGTTAGCTCTCAATCTGAATATATAGAGTTAACTCTCAATCGGGATATGTAGGGTTAACTCTCAATCGGGATATATAGAATTAACTCTCAATCGGGATACATAGGGTTAACTCTCAATTGGAATATAAAGGGTTAAATCTCAATCAGAATATATAGGGTTAACTCTCAACCGGAATATATAGAGTTAATTCTCAATCGGAATATATAGTGTTAACTCTAAATCGGAATATATAGAGTTAACTCTCAATCGGGATATGTAGGGTTAACTCTCAATCGGGATATATAGGGTTAACTCTCAATCAGGATATATAGGGTTAACTCTCAATCGGAATATATAGGGTTAAATCTCAATCAGAATATATAGGGTTAACTC